GTTTCGTCCTCACTCGGCCTGAGCTCGAATTGTTTTAGAGATGTACTCTCAAAGTCAGCACGTGCGTTCATTAGGTCTGTGACAGCGCGTTACAGTTCCCGCGCTGGCGCTGGCTGAGCAGGTCTAGCAGGCAGTAGCAGGCAGTGGTCATGGACGCAAAAGAAGTAAATATTACCATTCACTTTGGCTGCATCGCAACACCTGAGTTCATGAACAATTATGTGTTTTGCTGTTAATGACAGCGTCACGAACACTAGTTATGTGACTTTAAAACATTTCGGGTCTCTCCTCTTCCGTAATCATCTAGGTAAAGCGTTACTTTTGACCGTTTCAGTCTTGAAGATGCTATGAGTTTGATTGAGTAACCTCACTTTCCACAAGCCTTTCTATGCTGTTTCTATTTTCGTTGTGTGCGTTATTTCTGTGGAACTTGTCGTATTAGCAGGACACTGTACCTTTGCCAGATTGTTTGATCCACCTCTGTTCTGATTCGTTTTCGTGGAGATATTGGAGTGTTTGTCTGTTTTGTTCATTGCAACAACCATGCTAGGCCAGTCCTAGTTATTGTGTGAACTTTGTTTCCGGATTCACTATTATTCAAATTTGATACATTATTTTACCTAGTTATCAAGACACATTAAAAATCCTTCTTTAGTTTCAAAATGTACTTATAAGCTTGAATCTACTTATTTGTCATAATGTTGTTCATCATATGCTTAATCATGTGTTCCCAATTTTCTTTGTAGGGTAGAAAAATGAATGGTCTAGATGAAGAACCAGGCTCTAGTTGTGATTCAGGTAATGCATCCTGCTCAAGAATGAGCAATGGTCACAACGATTGCAGTAACCAACTGAGCAATGGCACATCCAATGCATCCAGTTCAAGCACTGCCTATGGAGGAGCAAGGCCGAAAACAAGAGAATTTGAAGAAAATATCCCCAATGGGGTGCTGCATCAATCCCCTCAAACACGTACCCAAAATGACTCTAAAGTGAAGAAAGTGCAAAACGAAGCATCAACGTCAGGATCTTTTGGAATTTCTAACAACCTTTCAAATGACACTATCAAAGTTATACGACAAATTAGAGACATTGAGTGTCAAGCTGGGCCATCTCAACCATATGTTGAGAAATCTTGTGACAATGGTGAAAATGATGTCAGCCGCCTTGCTGCAGTCTGTGCTGCATCCAGTCGCAGAGCTATGGCAGAACGGGCCCGAAAAGCTGAGCCCCATAGTGCCAAGAGATTGCAGAGTCCTGTTGATTCTGATAACTCAAGTGACACTGGCAATGATGATGGTCTTTCTGGTGATGAATGTTGCATTTATACTTACAAGGGAGATCAAAATGCTGACATCTCAAATGGTTTGCTTGGATTGTCTTTACCGCAAGTTAATGAACATCCTCCAGCACATCCTGTTGACAATGGTAACCGTAATGGAGGATCGTCTCCTGAAATGGACTTTCTCGAAATGGACTTTGACCCTGATCCTTTGGGAGAGCAGGACTCCATTGAAGAGGACCATGTACAGGTTAATCTTTTAATTAGACCTGAGGTTGCTTCTCCCTCTCAGAGTGTTGAAGAAGCCTCTAATGAGTTGAGTGCTCCTGCTTCAAGTTTGGACAACGCTTCTACTTCTGGAGGGGAGGATGAAGAAGATGACATAGAAGATGAGGATGAGGAGGACGAAGATGAAGAGGGTGCTGTTGCAATGATGGAGAGTAGTGACAGCAGCAATGAGGAAATGCCCGATGCTGAGCCGGAACCTTTTCTAGGCATAAATGTTGGAGCTTTAACATCTACGTCTACATCTGCAGACGGCATGAAAAATTTATTCCTTCCGTAAGTTTTATCTGATTTGAAATATGGTATCATGTGTTTCATCCTACATCTTGGTTTATTTGACTTTTTTGTTTTTGCAGGAAAGTTCCTTCTCTTGTATCAAAGGAAATTCTTAGAGGTCAACATATTGCTGGAAGTCAACTTTGTCCTGTAGATATAGATGACTCACACAAACGTTCTTTTGTTAGTGCAATTAAATCCTGGCACACCAATAACGAACCAGTGATAGATAAGCAAAAATTTAATCTCTATTCAGCTTTGTATCATAGTATAATGGCTAATAATCTTATTCTTGATGAGGAGGAGCTTGGAGGTGCCAGTGGATCACAAGGGCAGGGTAGAGAAGACAACAATGTGGAAGGTGCCGTGGGAACTTCAAGTGAAGGCTGCCCCCGCAAGGTATTTAGTGGCCATATGCTCACTGTTCCATTCTCAATTGCTTAAGGACTTTGAAGACACTTACCAAATTATATCTTATACTTACAGAGATTGCACCAACAAAGTGGAAACGAACTTCCAGAATTGGAAAAGACTATGATCTGGACTGAAAGAGAAGCATGCCATAAACAAGTGTCTCAAATAGCAGTTTCAGCCTGTGGTGCTGCTGCTGTCAGTAATGTCCTGGTTAGTTTTGAAAGTTACCACTTGTCAAGTCTTTCATGCCATGTCTTCTCTTCATAACCATTTTTCATTGGTACAGTTTATTTCATCATCAAATTTTGTTTTACAGAGTGCTCTTAATATTCCTTTCACATTAGAACGAGTACATGATGGTGTAGCAACTCGACTAAGGGCTGAAAAGGCTTGTCTACCTACCTACCTGTTTTCCCGATCCGCTGCTGGAGTTGCACATAATGATTTAATTAGGGGCTTAGACCTTGCTTCAGACGGAGCCATTTATTCTAGATTTTTCCATATGTACCCCGAGAGATCGTTTTCCCTCTCAAGATGGCTTGCTCATTGGATCAAGGAAGGTAATATCTTTTCCCTGTAGTGTGTTTTCAACAGCTTATCTATTTCTTTCCACATTTGATTTGTATTGTATTTACCTTGTTTAAAGTTGGTTTGTTTTGGTTAACATTGTTTTGCAGGGGCGGTGCCGATTGCTACACTAAATATTCAAAAGTCAGTTCTACAGGGAGCCACAATACCAGATTCCTGGCACCATCAGATGGTGTTTGGTGTTAGTCACCGTGGTATTTATCTTACAAACCCATTGGAATGTGTCAGAGAAGAAGTTTTGCATCCCCAACTTTGCAGTCCTTCTGAGCTTCTTGTAAGGCGTCAGGATATAGTGTCACGGTGGGCTCCCAACACAGACTTATGTAGGCTAGCAACAAGCTCTGACATCAGATGGAAACAAATGAATGTTCTTGGTAAGTCTTACACTTGTTGTGGACTTTTTACTTTTTTGAAGCTTTTGTCTTTTCAATTTAACAAATTTGTTTTGTTTTGCAGGGCAAGTTGTTAATATTCTTAGAGAAGCTAATGCAAGAGCCCCGCAATATCTTTTTCGCCGAAATCTCACGTCTCATATCTCAATACCTGCATCATATTGTTCAGGAATTTTATTGTCTGTTCCAAAAGATAGTCGAGCAGCCATGCAACTCAAATCTGCTCCTGAACTACCTATGAAAGTATTTTGACTGTAACATGTGGATCAAAATTCTTAGAAAGAGAACTGACCTAAACCTGTATTATTCTTTGCCGGTGTGTTTTTCAATATCTTTTGCAGACTGATTTAGGATGCCTTTTAGGAACAATTTCACTCACCAAATTGGCTATAACCATAACGCATAATACTGCTAGATCAATGGTAGCCACCAATACATCAAACATACAGTATATTAACTTTTCCAAGTTGAGGAACTCAGTACCCTTTGCCATATATTTATTATTGTTTTTATTTTATTGTTTTATATATACTGTCATTTATATGTACATGCATATGTTTATATTTTGTTTGTGACTGTTGCTTCAAATAGTTAGTGTTCCAGCCCCAAAGTGAAGATGTGTACATAATATTGTAGCTACCTTAATGTATAAAGTTCTTCAGCCTTGTGTAACTTGAAACAAATTGTGATACAACTGTCTTTAGATAAATTATGGTCATTATTTTGTAATTCAGAACCTGTTGTTGATTTTTGTATTAAAAAAATGAATAGAAAAAGTGCTTTAATTGACTTCTTAAGTTTTGTTGATATCTTCAATGGCAATGTAGATTTGTATGTATTCTTATCTCTGGAAATACAAGGATGCATTTAGTGTCTAATAATATGTTTGAAGGTACTTAGTGAATTGAATGAGACGACTGCTTGTCAGTACGTAGTTGATTGGTCTGTTCTACAAAGTTGAATGCTGAAAAACTGTTGTCTAAAGAAATTCAGACTCATGAAATTTCTTAGTGTCATTCAAAGGGCAAAGCTTAGACTGAGGTACCTCTGTTGGTGCATTAGCTGTCTTCTTGCCCTCTTGAGTCATTTAATGTCTTTACTAATCAAAAAATTATATTTGACCCCTTATCAATTGGTTGCTGACAGGTCCTCTTTACCTCCGATCTATAAAAGCAAGGCCCAGTACTTTTCCTTTTCTTAAATCTTATGAGATCACTGAAATTAGTTGTAAAATTGTTTCAAATGACGTTCAACAAAACTTATTTTTATATCAAAATTGTTTCCAATACCATAGATCTTGAATTCTCTAACTAACAACCCATGCTTTCTCATAAGGAGTGCACAGCACTTCTGGATTGTTTACTTCCTCTAACTTTCTATTTCCATCACTGTTGATATGTGTTCTGTTCTTGTCATTTTAACGGTTCTCTATTGTGCCATGTCAAAACATGAGTTAATACAAGCTTGACAGACAACTTCCGTCTTTCATTTTTACAGACCAAACCTCATCCAGCTTTTCAGTGCTTTAATGTGAAGTCAAATTATAAATCACCTAATAATAACATAAATTCATCATAAAAATCATAAATCATGATGCTATAATGGTAATTAAACCTATACAAAGAATTAAAGATAAGAAACTGAATCAAAATTGGTATGTATGAAAATTGGCATAGTTTTTGTTGAGTTCAACAAACAATGAAAAAGACAGTCATTCAAGTCTTATACACTAGAGTACATTGGTTAAAGGATGAAAAAAATTAGAAGAGGATGGTTCATCAAGTCAAAGTCTCTCCTTTGGTGACCTGAAAAGTCGAGATAAAGTATGTTTTTAAAATCTTACAAAGAAACTGAGGATCAAAGGGCAGAAAGTGTAGAATTATCTTACCCGTGCTTCCAAATATTCAATTCGCCTCTCTAAGGTTGTGAGCTTCTCATTGAGCACGGCCAGCCTCGATCTGCACGACATATCTAGTAACAAATAAATAATTAACAACTTAATGATTCAACCAAAGGCAAAATTAAAGGGCACCACTCTGACGAGCAGAAGTAAGTCAACCCGAAACATGACGACACTCAACTTTGACCACAATTGTTATATTTGGTTAGAGAAGTTGTGACATGGATAGATCATATGATTACATCAACTTGAAGCTAGTTTTAAGGTAAATAAATAGCGAACTAATAGTCCTGTACGGTCGCCAGGAAACATCCAATTGAAACACTACCAATACAATTTAATAATGATAGAAGTTCAGAATTAAAAACTGGATTCTACAAACGGAAAACGGTGAATAATGATTTTGTTCGACTAAATGTAATCAAGGAATCAAAGCAAGCACTATACTACATGCGAAGCTGAGTTTGACGTAAATGCAGCAGAAAGTGTAGGGTTAGCTACGGGACTGAGACAAACTTCCGAAAGAACAACGCTAAAATTCGTACCGAAAGAATTCAGGAAGTCGGTTATTTTTTTGATGCTGCCTGTGATAACTTCGATGTACTCTCGGTTTGCCCAATCTTGTTGAATTTGTTTCTGAAACGCTTCTCTGTGTTGAGACGCCATGGCAGAAGACAAGACTCCGGTGACATACCCACGCACGGCAGAGATTAGTCTATAAAAAAAGTATTTTAAAAAGCCTTTTTAACTGATAACGCATCGAGATAATGAGAAATAATAAAATTAAAATACAATTCTGATGCCACAAACTCACTTCTCAGAAGAATAAAGTTTGATTTGATCGCAAATAAAATCATACAGAATGGGTGCAATTCATCTCTGCCTTGAGTGAAGGGCGCTCTGTTTTGTTTTGGAGGCGACGGAGGCGAGCTGTCTGTATGTTTATTTGTTTTTACCTTTACCTCCGCTGGACCTGGACCCACATCCAGTTTTTTCTTTTACTTTTTTATCGGTACCATTCTTATTCGCCTTCGGTTCAATAACCTTTGGCTGACAAGGTAATTAGGTGTGTTATTAGTGTAGAATTCATTGGAAAATCAATCTTGCGTAGATAATCTAACCTTGCCCGTGGAGAAATATTCCTGGGACTTGCAAGGTGAAGAGGCACCTGTAAGGTTGAATGGTGTTTTTATTGTCATTTGTTGAATGGGAGTGCCACCAAGCCTAAAGTATAGTTTTGCTAAAAGAATCTTTGTTCTCACTTTGGCTGTCAGATGTTGTCCTCTTTACTGAGTGTTAAGCTAAATGTCATTGGTCTCTAATTTAACCAATTTTACAAAACGATTTTTTACAATTTTGTCTTTGTTCATGTAGATGGCAGCCCTTGTAAAATCTCAGATGCACTCTCCCTATTCATTGCTGTCACGAATCGGCAACCTTTTGCAAACATCACAATGGAGTGACTGCACCTTTTTAGTCGGAGAAAGTGATTCTAAACAGGCAAGTAAATGACATTTCAAAATGTAATATGCAGAAATCATTACGTCATGTTGTTTTATTTTCCTTTTCTTTTTCTGGTGCTAGGAATTCCGTGCTCATCGTATAATTCTTGCGGCATGCAGTCCTGTTTTCGAAGCCATGTGTTTTGGTCCTTTGGCTGAGAAAGGATCTATATCAATTCCAGATATGGAACCCAAAGCTTTTCAGGCTTTACTACAGTAAGTAAAGTTCCCTTCCAACATTTGTCCAGTTGTCTGAAGACTTCTTGTTATCTAACATGGCAATTCTTCATGTTTTATTTAACAGATATGTGTATACAGATAATGTTCAATTTACAAGTGTAGAAGAGGCCTGTGATGTATTATATGCTGCCAAAAAATACATGATTCTTAATCTGTGTCAAATGTGCCATCTTTATCTGAAACGCAACATGCAGGCTAAAGATGTTGTTGCAGTTTATGAGTTTGCAAAGTTACTTGAAGAGGAAGCACTGTATGAACCATGTTTACTGGTATGGAAAATAATTGTGTCATCTCTTAAGATGTGTTCAATGACACTTTAACTATGCTTAATTTTATTGTTTTTCGTCTAGATGCTGAGAAAATATGCCCTTGAAGTATTAAATGATGCAACTCATCATTTATCACCTAGTACTGTGATGGAACTTTTGGCATCTGATGCTTTGAATGGTTGTGAATGTTGCCTCATTGAAGGGGCATTGTCCTGGGCCATTCGAGAATGTGAAGAAAGAGGTTTGGAGCCATCAATAGAAAATCAACGCTTCATGTTGACTAACTGTAGTGCATGGCATCAATTAAGGTTCCTAACACTTTCACAACAACAGTTCATGCGTATTAGTCAGATTGATGGGCTATTAACTCAAGAAGAAATTGGTTTCCTTAAGGTAATCTAACTTGTAGTGTGAAACGGACAAGGGACATACCACAGCTACCCTATCATGTTTTTTGTTAATGTCTATTTTTTCATCGCTTTCAGGAATTTCTGTTTAAAACTTCTGATGACAAGAGAGCAACACAGTACAGTAACATGTGTAACAGCAGCTCATGCTCTGGTATAGCAGCTTTTGATGAAATGGGTGGCAATGAAAGCAACGAAAGCAACTCAAACATTGTCGTTGTTAGAGACAAATGGAAGCGGAGGAGGTTGAATATGGTTCTAATTGGTGTTGAAAATTCTGATGAAACATCAGATAAATGGGTTGAATCTGACTCTGCTATGTCAACTTCATTGGACTCATGTTTCACTCTGTCAGTTCCTCCCAGCATAAGTGACATTATGAGACCCCGCAAGTAAGTGTGACAGTATATGACTTAAAAATATGAAATCTAGGAGGAATTTAAATTTACAACTCTTTTTGCCTTTTATAGGGAAGTTGGCTACAGATTATCATTTTGCCGACGTCCGTTGTTGAAACAATCATCCATTGTTGCTGGCCCTTTGGATCTTGAAGTTGCTTTGATGGTTAGTGCTCCTATTGATCTCAGAGCAGTACAAGTATACTCTAGGATCTTCCCCCCTTATGCAATACAGAAGTCCAACACCTACTCTGAGAAACTAGAGATCGAAGTTCTTGATGAAACTGGAAAGTTGCTGACTTATAGCCATTTTAATGACAAGGTAAGTCTACTTCTCTATATTTGCATTTTGAAATTTTATCATTTAATTTGAAATTTCATAACTTCTTATTGCTCTGGGTTATAGGTGGAATATAACACTGAAGTAATGGTTCATTTAAATAAATTTGTGCGCCTCACTCAAGATCGAACATACAGAGTTATTGTCAAACTGATGGACAGTATGACAGAGTATCCTCTCAGTTTTCTTGGTCAGTTTGCTCGCTCCCAGGATATTAATTTTACCTTCATGGATAGAGCTGCTAAGGCAGGACCCGGTTTTGTTAATCGGTTAGACATGGGCTTCATTAGAGGATTTGCATATTCTTAGATTGTAGTTGAACAGCAGCATCAAAAACTTCAGTAGATCAAAAAAAAAAAAAAATCGTCTTTTAAATTTACAAAATTTGCCTTCAAAACTTTAAAAAAAAATTGGTGGATGGTAGCCTTGGTGGTAATTTTTTTTCCTCTATTTAGGTTTACTGACATTGTGTCAGCTTTTTCATCTAAAATTTCTCGTAGCAAAGGCAAGTTTGCAAAAAGTGTTTCTCTACATTTTTTCTAGTATGTATAGAGAATCCCTTACTTCTCAATTATAGCTGCACAGGATACAAAAACTGTTTAGTGAGATTACAAACTTATGTGTTACTATTTGATATTTTCTCAACTTCATTCTATTTAATATTCATGTGATCTAGTTAGTAATGGTATCAGCATCAGAAAACAAGAACACTTACTTCTGTCTTCATCAGCACCATTAGGTGGTTTGTACATGTACCCTATTTTTCTTTACCTTAAATATTAACCATGCTGTCTTTGTAAAAGATGCAAGTGCTCTCTGGTCAGAGGTATGCAAGAAAAAATGGCTCTTTATGATAATTTTTATTTTATTTTTATGTGCTTGTTATCCTGTAGTTTAGCATTTTTAAACACATCTTATAATTGTAAGGTTTCTTAGTACCTCAATGAGTATGCTATGGGTGTGATGAAAAGGAGAAAACGGAAAAAACTGTGATATTTTGAATGGTAATTTTGAAGTTGTGAACTTTGCGATTTATGTATTTACACTGCTTGAACTTTACCCTGTAGTAGATTAATTTATAATGATTCTTTCTGTATTATATGCATTTTATTTTTGCTTTATGTTGTGAACAAATTTAGGACCTTCTTCTTATTACTTGTACCAAACCTGGAGATATGGAACTGGCGTCCTCAATAAAATGAACATGACGGGCTAGACCAGATAACTGATAAATGTAAAGGAAAGATTATGTTGTGTCATCGGTTTTTATTCCTGTTCTAATTACACGTCACTTGGTACATAGTATGTCAATAAATACAAAATATATTATCATGTTGCTCATTATTTACCTGAAGAACCCATTTGTCCTTATAAGCATGAGCTAAAATCATTCTGGACTTGAACAATGCTAGCCATGAGATCTTCTCATCACACAAACCATTGGTCACAAAAGCAAAGAAAGTACAAAAAGTTGTTTCAATTCTAATTATTTAGCATTACAGTTTAAAAATTAAGGTAACTATTGCCAAACAAATCAAAAGAAGATAAGAAGTCTTTCCTTTAGAGCAGCGGTGGGATATGGTGACTTGAAATTACAGGCATCCCATCAGCATAAAACGGGCCAGGATATGGCCCATTTTATACAGAGTGACTATGGAGCTGCTCTGCAATAGTGTCCTTAAACATGGACTGTAAAAATGGATTAACGACCACGCACAGACACTACTTGAACGGGGGTTAGGCTGGGCATTGCGGTGTCGCTGGGGAACGGCACTGCACGATGCTTTGGAACTATGCCGACAGTGTCACGGGTGTCACATCGCTACTCGGTAGTCTCATGAACGCGGCCCGCGGCTCGCGCACACCCCGCGGCAACAGAGTGCAGGACGGAGTGCACGCAGGAGACGCAGGCACCGCGTGGGCGTGGCGCAGCGTGGCGGGCCAGGGAAGGCCAGACGCAAGTGTTTTATTTTCATTTTTTTTTGTCAGTCCGTCTCACCTTTCCTGCCCGCGACGGGACGCGCGTTTTGGTAACTTTGATTGCAGCAAACGGCAAAAGGCGGGCGCCTTACAGCCTGAGGCCGGGGTTGGTGGCGGCCACGTAGTTGAGCAGCTCGTCGCTGTCCTCGCAGACGAAGGGCTTCTCGTGGTAGCAGGCCACGTCGTGCCAGCCGATGCCGTCGTTGTACACGTTGTTGAGCACGCTCAGGCACGACTCGTTGGTGCCGTTGATGTCGAACTCGGCGTTGTCGGGCTGGCGCACCTTCTTGTGGCCCGTCTGCGACCAGGGGTTGTAGCCCCAGCCGGGGGGCACCTGGTTGGTGGGCGCCATCTTCCCGCGGGTGCCGGACCAGAACCAACCGAAGATGCTCTTGGGCTCCAGGTCCCTACGGTTCTCGCAGCCCTTGAAGTCGCACAGGCGGCCCGACGTCCAGATGTAGGGCACGTCGTCTGCGCACAGGGTTCGGTTAGAAGCGGCGCCCCCTGCCCCCCCCCCCCCCCCATCCCCGGGTGCTCTGCCCGACGAGTCGCTACTTACTCTGCTGGATCAGCCTGAAGATGAGGTTGTTCTCCTCCTGGGTCTCGAACGAAGGCAGGTCCATGCAGTACTCCCGGCACAGGTTCCTGGCGTCCAGCCAGTCGTACTTGACGTTGCGGAACTGGGGCACGTGGCCGGTGTAGAAGTAGTTGTGTCCGTTGAAGAAGAACTCCTTCGGTCCTGCAAGCGGAGCGGAGCGAAAACACATTTAGCGCACTGCTCACACGTACATGTCACGCGGCCGCAACGTTTTGGCGTGCGGGTCCAGCGCCTGCCAGATAGGCAGCCCAATCGCCCCGACCGTCCCAACCGCCTTGCTTCGCCTTCGCCAACGCGGTGGCCATGGCCGAAGGCCGAAGGGTCGACGCGTGAGATGTCGCTTGTCCCGCGCGGCGGCCTCTGCCTGCTCTGCCCGCTCTGCCACCTGGCGGAGGGAGCGCGCCACCGTTGGCGTGGGTGTTACTGCCGATTAAAGCCTTTACGACCGCGACCGCGCGACCGCCAGCAGACCATGGGGCGTGCCGTGTCGGTACGAGAGAGACAGAGCGACGAAAGCGACCCTCAGAATCAGCCTGGCGGCCTGGCCTCGTAAAGCGCGGATGCGGTCCGGCGGGATGATTCCTAAACAGTGCTTTCGTCGCTCTGTCTCTCTCGCACCACCGCGCGACGCCCCGCGAGTGCGAGTGAGGCGGGGCTAGGCAGCACTGCGGGTGGGAGGTCGGACGGACGAGCGTGGTGCAAATGGAGGATAGAAATTAAGCGGGGGAGAAGACAAGAAGACACGGAGCTACAGCTCGACAGCGGCCTGACGGCCTGACGGCGGCGGGGCCTCGGTGGTGACGGCGGGGACCTCGGCGGTGAGGAGTGTTGCCGCCTTGCTGCGCCTTGCCACCACCGCGTGTTTTACTGCGAATACAGGCCGTTTAATTGCGGCTTAGTGGCTTTCAGGGAGGAAAACACAAAGTCCCCCGCCCCCCGCAGCCTTGCTGCGCGCTGCGCGCTGCGCCTTGCATCGTCGCGGAGGCGAGGCGGACCAAGGCGGAGGCGCCCTTCACCGCATGCACTCATGGCGGCAGCGCGGCTCTCCGAGAAAAAGGAAACGTCACCTTCTCGCTCGCTTCAAACGAGGAGAAACGGAGAATTTTCTGTTCGTTTTGGAGCATTCTGATGGCGACCCTTTCATGCCTTTAACCACTCTATAAATCCTGTCGGTCCTGTGACACACTTGGGTGCCAGATGTCGCGAAGGGTGAAAAAATGGGGTGCGGTATGACTCGACCTGGCTCGGCGTGGCCGCGTGGCTGGGCGCAGGTGCTAACTAACTAGAGCGTTCAACTCCGGCCGGGGGCGTGGCACGGCGGGGCGGGGCAGGACGGGGTGAGGTGAGGTGCGGCTTGGAGTCATAAAGGCGTCACGGAGAATGAAAAGGTCAGTGGTGGGGTTTCAAAACGAGCACAGGGAGTGCAGACTGCCAGACTGTGCAGAGAGATGAGATTTTGAAATATGCGAGGGGACCTCTCTCCCGCTCGGTCGCTCGGTCCTTCTCCTTTCTTTGGTCCTTTTCAGAGAGGGCCGCGCCGCCGCCGCGTGACAAGCCGTGCGGCGCCGAGACGGCGGGAGCAGCCAGCCGACGGGGCCGTAAGGCCGAGAGGGTCGAAAGGCAGCCGAACGGTAGCCGAGGTGCGCCGAGGTGCATGGTGGTGGCGATGAGTCCGGCGCACCGCGGCCCGGCGGCACGTCGGCCCCCGTCGGCACGTCACACGGGGAGACGATGGCCGCGTGCCGCGCAACGCTTTTTATTAATGCACGCTCCGCTCCGCTTGGCTCCGCTTGGCTCCGCTCAGGCAGGCGTCGGTAGCCTTCCCTCTATGGCGGCGGGGCGGCGGCGGGGCGGCGCGGCGGCATGGCGGGGCTCCACTGCGGCGAAGCGCGGCGCGCGGCGCACGGCGCGGCGGGGTCGAGGTCGGGAGATGCTCTTTGGCAGCAGGCCAGCCCCGTGGTACCACCACGGCACCGCGACACCACGACACCACCTCGGCACCACGCCGCGGCACTCAATGGAGGCGCCGGGCCGGCAGAAAAGGTCGGCCAGCAGAAAGGGAAGTCCCACTCGAAAAGGACGCACACCGCCTCCCTGTAGTCCGATTCGGAGCAGTGGGCGTTGCCGCTCTGTCTGTATCGCACCCCTCCGGCACGCCCCGTGAGTGCAGTGCAGGGCACCTAGCCGCCGTGCTGGCTGTCCTACGCTGTCTCCCGGCCCCTCTCGGACAACGCCGCGGCTCCGCTAGGTTTGCTGCACCTTGTTTTTTTTTCCTTTCGCCGAAACGAACGAAACGAGCGGTTTTCCCATGGGAACTTTCGGGTCCGCTCGGACCGAGGCTCGGACAACCTTGGTCTAGGTCGTGGACGAAAACAAAGGATCTCTCGCCTTCTCCCTCTCAGACCGTTTGAACATCGTCCCTCAGTTTAAGTCCCCCTCTGCCCTTCACCGCGAAGTGTCTGCCGCCGCGAAGGACGGCGGATCCTAATGCGAATCGGATAGCCGCTGGCCTGGTGCCTGTGGCGGCACACAGTGGGCCAGAAGACCGGTGGAGGCGGACAAAACTCTAGGAGCGTTTTGAGCTCCAGAGTCGCTGAACAGGCCTCGAAACGAACGTGTGACCCCACCAATGGATTCCTCGTCCGAAGAGCAATCCATTGGTGGGGTCACACGATTGATTCGAGTCCTACTTAGCGACTCTGGAGCTCAAAACGCGCGTCGAGTTTTGTCCGCCTCCACCGGCCTTCTGGCCCACTGTGTGGCGGCCTGAGGCGTAGGGCCGCTGCCTCGCCGGCACCAAGGGCGTTCCCCCACGCGGCGCGCCGCCTGCTCGCGGCCAAGCTGGAGTTTGGAATGAATCAACACCAGGACTGGACAGGGGCAGAAAAAAACTAAACACAGCGTTAGGCGGAACCACTATATCAAGTGGGGGAACCAACGACTGACTCCAGCCATCGGCATGGAGTATGGCCCAGTCCGGCTGCACCAAGATCCGAGATCCAAGGCGAGCAAACCGCGCGAGAAAGAGGAGGTGCCCGTGGACCGGCCGGGCCGGCCGGGTCCAGCGCGGTGGCTTCCAGTGTGGTGGCTTCCAGGCTCCAGAAGCAGGCGAGCGATGACCTCGCCTGGAGCCTGGAGGTGCCGCACTGCCGTACTGCACCTAACCACATGCCAAGGTCGGCCCAGCCAGGCTCCGGGGCTCCGGGGCTCCGGGGCTCCGGGCTCAACCCCTCCACGGCGATGCGCCGCCACGCCGCGCCACGCCACGCCGCGCAGCGCCACGCGACGGGCCTAAAGGCGCGGCCTTCCGAGCCGCTCTGCAGGCTGACTCCGAGCAGTGCTTCGTCGCTCTGTCTCTCTCGCACTTACGGGGCGTTCCGCAGGGGCGTGAGAGAGACAGAGCGACGAAGCTCCGTTCGGCACTAGCCTGCAGTGAATGTGGAGCGGCGGCGGGCTGGGCGTCGTCAAAGGGAGCGCGGGGCCTCTGTCGCCAGCACGTCCACGTCGAGGCGGCAGCCAGCCGTCTTCTCCCGACCTCTGACCCGCTGACTGCTTGACTACTTACTGTTGGCGCACTTCTGCGGCTGCGGCAGCGACAGGAAGCGGCCCGGCCGGTTGGACTTGGGCCGGATCTCCTTGATGGCCGGGTTGGCGAGCACGGACACCGTCCACGCCGCCAGCAGCGCCATCAGCGCCCACTTCGTCACCCACAGCATCTGCGGCAAAGAGGAGGAGCTTCAGACAGACGGACAGACAGGCAGACAGACCGCCTTCCACAAGTAGTGCACCAGCAACAACAAAGACCGTCCCGCGACGACGAGGCGCGCGACGTGCCGGGGGGCCTTCTTGGCTTCGAGACTGCGGTTGCGGTCGGCCCGGGCCGTGGAAGGCTAACGGACGAGGCTGTGAACAATCGTGGATGGATGCTCCTCAAACGATTCATCAACAATGCGGGGCTTGGCGTAAGGCCCGCATCGGGCCGCCCTGCCGCCCTGCCGCCCCGCGGCGCAACGAGTTTGCAACAGTGGCTGATGAGTCGATTGCGATGCGCCTCGCCGGAGCCACGGCGGCACCCTCCCCGCGGCCCGCGGTCCGCAGTCCGCGGCTGACGGCGTGGTGGCGCGGCCCCGTGCATGCCGGCGGGCCTGGGCGGGCCTGGGCCGGCGGGGCGTTCGTTACTTAACAAGGTGCCATTGCTCGGCATCCTCGCGGCCCTACCTCGGCCCTGCCGCGGCCCAGCCTCAGATCGACAAACCATTGAAAGGCACCAGGCCGACGTCGACGTCAGCACGCCGATGAGTTGTGCCAATTCCGTCTGGTGGCAGGGCAAGGCGAGGCAGGGCGTCAGCGCGCTCCCACCGGCCGGGCCGCCGCCCGCACCCCGCCGTGTTCGGGGCGAGCAAGACGCTGCAGGACCTCCAGGACCTCCAGGACCTCCAGGACCTCCAGGACCTGCAGGACCTGCAGGACCTACAGGGCCTCCAGGACCTCCAGGACCTCCAGGACCTCCAGGACCTCGACGCCCTGCACGCCGTGTCCAGCCTTGAACGTTTCTCCCTTATTCACTTGCAAAGTGCACGGCGTTGCTGTCGTTGTTCTCGCCACCGTTGTTCTTGTCGTTGCTGCAACGCGTTTGGTTTGGACGACTCCAGAATACACGAGTGTCGCCGGAAGCGGGCAAGCCGAGGGCGAGCGGCGAGCGGCCCGACGCATAGGCGAGGCGCTACACTGTGTTACGGCACCGCGCACCGCGCACCGCGCCTTTGTCGCACAAACAAGGCGAAGTGACGCAGCGCCAGACCCGCTTTTCGACGCTCCGTCTCTCTCGCACCCACACGCAAAGCTGCACAGCCCCATGAGTGCGACAGAGACAGAGCGACGAGAGCGACGTTCGGAATCGCTCTGCAGCAACCTGCGGCGCAGCAGCAGCGTTCGCGTTGCCCAATGCGATCTCGATAATTTGTCTCTGACGGTCCATTTGGCGCATTGAGTAGAAGCCGCCGTCGTGCAACACGCCCTTCCAGGCCTACTCCACGTCGTCCACGTCCTCTTGCTGCAGCGTTTGGTCGCGCTGTCTCTCTCGCACCCCCGTGTGACACGCCACGAGTACGAGAGAGACGGAGCGACGACACCGCGCAACAATGACGTGTACCAGTGTACCAGCGTACCAGTGTACTAGGGACTGCCGGACCCCTTTAACAGAAAACACGGGGCAGCGCTTTTCCCACGATTTTGCTGTTGCAAGCGTCGAGCGGCCGCCACGCAACGCCGATCAATAATCAATCCGACAACGCCGCGGCAGCAGCGGCGTCCCTTTTCCTAATCAGCAACAATACTGATTGCGATTGCTGGCGCCACGCGTCGCCACGCTCCGCCGGGGAGGGAAGTACGAGGTACGCACCCACACTGTAAACAATACCAGGACACGGCCTGGCGCAGCACGGCGCAGCACGGCGCCGCGAGGTCTCCCTGACCCAAAACAATTACTTCTGCTGGTGGTGCCCCCACCCCTTCCCCCGGTTCGCGAGCAGGTCAAGAAAGGCTGTGTTTACGTGCGTCGCGCAGCAGCCGCCGCCGCCGCTGCCGCCTCCGCGAGGTCTCCGTCGTGCGGTCGCCCGGCTGTGCCCTGCGCGGTGTGGTGGCGGCGCCGCGGCGGGCTCGGCCGCTTAAAGACCGCCGCGGCGCCGCGATCGTCGCGTACCCATGTTCGCTAATTCGGCCGCTAGCGAGCGCTTTGCGAGCTTTGCGAGCTTTGCGCCACTTCGGGGCGCCTCGACTCGACGCGACGGCGCCCAGGCTGCACAGGCGTTGCGCGGCGAGGAGTGAGCGAATTTCTGCAGCGGGCTGCAGCAGCAGCGGCAAAGCCTCGTTAAGGAGGTGAGATAGTTAGTCCCTCTAACGTAACCGGGCCGCCTCCCGCCTCCCGCGCACCGCGCTGCACCACCGGGGCCCGACAAGTCTATCCCTGGACCAGAGGCCGGGCCCTGCTGAACCCCGGACAACTAGGGCTTGCTTTGCTAATTGGAGCCTGGCTCTGTCTCTATCTCTCTCGCACTGCACTTGTGCCTGGCTGGTTCTTTCTCGCACTCTACCGCTGCGGCCCCGCATCTGTTTCCCCGCCGCCGGGCCAAACCCAACGTGCAAAAACCACGTCATGCGCGGTGAACCCGTTCCGACCCACTCCGACCCGTTCCCCCCCACCACGCCACTGTCGCGGCCGCGGCCTTGCGTGCGTCTTTCCTCTGGACCAGGTCCATCCGGACGCGGCGCGACGCGGCGCGTGTGAGTGCGAGGGAGACGGTCCTGGAGGAGGTCCTGAGGACCGCGACGCCGCCGCCCTTTTCTCCGACGCAGTCCTCCTTGCTGGTGACATGGTGACAACAACACGTGCGCGGCCGACGCACTGGCCTCGCAGTGGCGCGCCGCCAGGCTGCCAGCCCGCCAGCAGGCCGGCACCCACCGGGCCGTTTGACGTTCGCGTCGCAGTGCAGTCCGGCGGGTCCAGTGGGTCAAGGCAGCGGGCTGCTGCTTTTGTTTCCCGCAAGCGACGACTGCGAATAGCACGGCGGTTTTTGTTTACTGCCAGACACGACTGCGAATAGCATCGCGATTTTTGTTCACCGCCAGCGACGACTGTCGATAGCACCACCAGCCTGGCGCGGCTACGGGGCCAAGGCTCCCAGTGTAGGTGCTCGGCGGCGTGCCGTGGCCGGCGTGCCGGTGTGGCAGTGCGAGGGCCGATAAGCTATCCGCGTTTAGCTTCCCGTCGCAATCCTGCCCGCAATCGCCGGCGTGTCCGGGTGCGGCAGCTGGCCGCGCAAACTGTGCGGCAGGAAGGCGCAGGCCAGCCCGCCGCGCTCGCGCGCGCAGCACCCGGTGGGCTGGCTACCCGGAGGTTGGCAGGCGTCAGCAGCCTGCAGCATAGGCCAGCCCGCCGCGCTCGCGTGAGCAGCACCCGGTGGGCTGCCTACCCGGAGGTTGGCAGGCGTCCCAAAGCCCGCACGTGCACGCCGCACCACGCACCTCACTCGCACCACGCGCGTGTGACGCAACCGGTCGAAGACAACAAGAGGACACCGAAAAGGATGAGGATGCAGAAAAGGAAGAGTTGGACAGGGCGGCGCTGGGCGGCGTTGGGCGGCGCTGGGCGGCGCCTACAAGGTGAACCTGTGCCGGACCGCCGCCGCGGGGGGCGCGCACGGCTCGCGACGCGCCGAGCGACACGAAGCACCTCGCGACGGAGCACGGCACGCGCGGCGAGGCGGCGAGGACTCTATTTGAAGAAATTTGTGTCCCTTGGGCCGACTGCGCCGTGCCTGCACAGCGCAAACGCCCTTGCTGGCCTTTCTCTGTCAACACGCCCTGTGTACGGCGGGCTGTTTCCGAACAGCTCTCCGTCGCTGCTTCTCCCTCGCACTCGTGGGTCGTCCCGCAGGGCGGCAAGGGTGCGAGGGAGACAGAGCGACGAGGCGCTCCGTTCGGGATCAGGGCCCCGCTCTCGCTTGCGCCTTACAATGCGGCTGGATGAAGACAAAAGAAGGCAGGCGGCTGAGCTCACGTGTGCGTGTGAGCACGCGTGTGTGTGTGCGTGTGTGTGAGCGCTTGTCCACACCGAAGAACAGCGCGCGGCCTGCGTCCAAACGCTTAGTGCACTTCTCGGCGTGGCGGGCCGTTTTGCCACAGCCAGGGCACGCTTTGGCATTCGCGGGGCGTGGCGGAGCGGGGACCGGGGGGGGGGGGGGGGTATGCCGTAGCAGTTATGCAGCGCCTGTCCCCATGAACTGGATAGTGCTAGGTGCGCACGCGCGCGCCTCGGCCATGCTTTGGCTTTCAGAGCGAGCGGGTCGGACAGGGCCCACGCCGCAGCAGTGGATGGATGCACTGCAACCTGAGGGACCGAGGTCCTCCGTGGGTCCCGCTAGCAGCGAATTCGAGCACGCGGACTACAATGTGGCGCCCACTGGGAGCGGCCGGCTGCTGACCGGTGTGGCGGAGAGTGGTGGTGGTGGGGGGGGACACGCCGGTGTTGCAACCGCCGCACGGTTACCGTCCCCAGAAGTAAACATATTCGTTTTCGACCAGAGCGCGCGCCTGCTGCAGCACGACCACGCCCGCCGCTACTGCCCCCTCCCCTCTCCTCCCCCCCCCCTTCCCGCGGTCTTCCCCGCTGCCCTTCCTGCCGCTCAGAGGCTCCGCTCCACTGTAGTGCGGAAGCGTTATTGGGTTACGCTCCGAGCTAATTTTGCAGACCGCCTGTTTAAAACGCGCGGCGCGGCCTGCGACCTGCGGTACGGGTCTGGGCGACTTGTTGGTCTCGGTTTTAGCAAGGTGCCAAGCGCCGGGACCACCCCGCCCCGCCCCGCCTTGTCCAGTACCGCCACGACACACGGTTGCCCAAACTCGAGTTGACAGGGGGAAAGTGGATCGACTGCGCGGCCCTGAAGTGTCCCGGGGTCTCCTTTGCCATCCGCCTTCGCTGCTTCGCCACCGACTGCCACTCGCTGTACTTAATTTGCGTCAGTCGGGCGCTGGGACCGTGGAGCACGACAACGGTCTTCGCCATCAACACAGAAAAAATGCAGTTGTCTTCAAACACAATCTGGAAATTAAAATCTGGCTGGACCCGAACGACACATTGTATTTTGTTTTGCTGGCGCACAATCATTTGTATCTTTCACTTTATTTCTGGACAAAAAAATCTACTCTGGTTGATTTAATTAGGAAAAACATCGTTTGCTTAAGTGACTTTCAACATTCCTGTCCGAAGTACAGAAAGGCCCGGCACAAACGCACTCACTCACTGACTCTCACACACGAACACATTCACACTGTGGCACTGCCGCTGAGCTTCGCGGGCTGCACTTACCTTTGCGTCGGACGGACTAAACACACACACACACACGCGAGCGAGCGCTGCTTCGGAGCAGGCGACGGCGCGAAGGGACTTGTGCCCACTAGCGAGGAGCGCGACGCACGGCGAGGGAGGAGCGAGCCAGGAGCCTCGCCGGACCTGTATATATAGCCGACGGGTGGCGGTCCGCGGGGGGCGCGGCGGGGCCGTGGAGGGGGGCGCAGGGGGTGGGGGAGGGGGGCGGAGGGCGGCGGCGTGGGGGGTGGCGGCCCGCCGGGGCGGCGCACTTGTGCCCCCCCTCCCCCCTCCCTTCGTCCTGCTCCACGTGAGTCCTGACCGCGCCGAGCGCACGCGCGCACGACGCGCGGTAACCGCCCCTTAGGCTCGGTTTAACAAGTCTAAACAAAATGATGAGCGGGAGCCCGGTATTTGAACCTTGGCCCACACGCTCGTGGAAGAGGGTACATAGACAAACAAGTGGCGACGCGCCACGGTCGCACTACAGTGTGTGCACATGGAAGGGGGAGGTTAGACAACCCGTGCTCGCGCACAGCGTGGCCTAGTGGAGAACACATTATGCTGTGAGCTCAACTTATTTGGCCCCAAATGCGCTGTTGCCAACCCAGCCCGCGCGAGTTTGAGTGAAGTTGGCTGCACGCGGCGCGCACGCCCCCAAAGTGTACCAGAGTGTTGTCGGGCCTTTCGTACGGAAGTAAGTGTCCGCGGCGTGGACGCGCAGACGCCGCTGACGGCGCGTACGGAGTGCCGAGCGTCCTGCGCTCCTCCTCCTCCAAGTCCTCCGGAAGCAACACCAGTCGTTACACTCCACTCCAGGCCAAGCCATCTCCAAGGCCATCTACCTCGGCACTGCTTTTTTTTTTCTTCTTCCTCGCTGACCCTTGCTATCAAACCTCGTGAATGGGATGAAGATGAGCAGTGAAGCTGGCGAAGCTGGCGAAGCTGGTGGGGAATGGATCAAAGAGGATTACGACTTGGCGGGTGAAAAAAAGGTTGTTATATAACTATTGTCGCTGCGTGGCCCGACCGGCACGCGAGGCGCGGCGGCATCTGGGGCCGAAAATGGCGAAGGATCTATGAATCGACGATCGACGGGATGATCGGGGAGCGCGTCAGCGACCTGAACCGGCCGTCATCGGCGACCTTAACGCACGTCAAGTGGCGAGCGCAGCCGAGCCGAGCACCGAGCGGCACTTGTTGGACAAACCGGCGGCGTAAGGTCAGGGCACGGCCAGAAGGTGACACCGAATAGTGCTTTCGTGGCTCCGTCTCGCTCGCACCCCTACGCGACGCCCCATGAGTGCGAGAGAGACAGAGCGACGCAGGATCGCCTTTCTCAACGGGCATTTGGTCTTCGGACCTCCCTTTAGCATTCCTTTGTTACGGAGTGCGATTATCTGCCTTAGTTTGGGAGCAGTATTGGCTCAAAGTTGATCAAAACGGTCAAAAATGCCTTTGAAAAATCGTGTTTTGGGCCGACTTTAAGCAGCCACTGCGTCTGATCCGAGGCGGTATATTGTCCTCCCTCAGTGGGCATTTGGTCTTTGGACCTTCCTTTAGCATGCCTTTGTTACGGGGTGCGATTATGCGCCTTAGTTTGGGAGCGGTATTGGCTCAAAGTTGATAAAAACGGTCAAAAATGCCTTTAAAGTCGGTTTTGATCAACTTTGAGACCATACTGCTCCCAAACTAAGGCAGATAATCGCACTCCGTAACAAAGGCATGCTAAAGGAAGGTCCGAAGACCAAATGCCCACTGAGGGAGGACGACATACCGCCTCGGATCGGCCGCAGTGGCTGCTCAAAGTCGGACCAAAGCACGACTTTTTAAGCAGTTTCCGCGAGTTTATGGTGCCGTGGCGTCGATCCAATGCTCGCTGTCGCCGGCTGCCTCGTGTCACCACTACGGCGATGGCAATGGCAGTGGCCACCCTCGCGGCCTCGGCTCGGGCCCCATAACATGCAGGTGCCCCCCCCCCCTCCTCCAATTTACAGCGTCGCCGTCGACCTTTCCTTGTAACGCGCGTCGTGTCGTGGCGTCTCGGCGTGCCTCTCTTTCTTTCGTTCTCTCTCATTTGCGAATCTCTTTTAGGAAACGGCTTCATTCCCAGCCCGGGGAGGGGGGGGGGGGAACGCGAGGGAAGGGAAGGCCAGGAGGCTACCAAGACGGCGGGGCGGGGCTGGGGGGGGGGGGCGGCTTGGGAGAATCGAGCGGGGCTTGTGCTTGTGGGAGCTCGTGCCTTACCTTCCAGCTCCTAGTCTCACGGGGACACCGACGCCGTGCTAGACTCGAAAGCGCGAAAGTCACCTCCCTTCTCTGTCTCTCTATCGTCCTTCCGCTCTGCTCGCTCTGCTCCCGGCTCTGGACTCGGGCTCTGTCCAGCGTTACCGTAGCAAAGTAACTGAAAAGACTTAACATTTTCGGGACTTCTCCTGTCCTTCTCCAGGTCTTCTCCAGGCTCTTCATGTCTTCTTCAGGCCTTCTTCTCCAGAATCGACGCTTCCCCCGCGCCGTCGGCCGGGCCGCCGCCTGGGCTGCCGTGACTGACGTCAGGTGCACTGTGATTGATGGCAGGCCAGCCAATCAAAATGATGCGACGGGGCAGACTGGGCCACTAGATCACCTTGCCCGGCGTTGCCGAGGCGTTGCCCGGCCAAATGTCACCGCGGCTTCCTCCTCCCGATAGACAGCGCTGCGCCGCAGACCAATTTCGAACGGTGATCCGTCTCTCTCGCTCCCCGATGGGACTCGCGCCCAGTGGGAGAGAGACAGTGCAGCCTCTTCCGTCGAGGAAGTGGCTCCAAACTCTATCGGCGGGGAGGGGCGGCGGCGGGGCGCGGTTCGGTTCCCTTGATATTCCTTTACGTCATAATGCCTTCGCCATAACGCCCTGCCAGACAAAAAGGCTAATAGGCCAATTATAGCGTAAAGACCCTGCGTGCCAACCGAGGCGAGCCGAGCCGAGCCGAGTCTAGGCAGAGCACCCGTTAACGCGGCGTTTACACTTGTTGCCTCGTTCTGCCTCGTTCTGCCTGCCAATTAGATGATGCGGATGGGACGAGGGGAATGTGGCAGTGGTGGCAGGGCGGCCCGCAGCTGCGAGGAGGGTGAGGGGGGCGAGGAGGAAGAAAAAGTGGAAATGGGAGACGACGGGGCGGGTCCGGAACAACGCGGGACTACAACGCGACCGTGGGACAGACCGAGGCGGAAGAGATGGCGCGGTGTGCGATATGCTGCTCAAGCATGTAAAGAGTGTGTTGCGGCGCGGCACGCCACGGCACGCCACGCCACGCCACGCCACGCCACGGCACGGCGAGAGGCGCGGGTGTCAGTGACTCATCTCTTTGGAAGGCCTTTCTTCACGGTCGAGGGAGACCGACTACTCCTTCCATGGAAAGGTGAGCGTTTTTCCCGACGGTTTCGCCCGCCACTCCACCGCAAACTGCCTCTTTTTTTTTCGGGCCCGGCGTGGGAGACGTACAAAAGAAATGCATGTCTGCGCTGCGTTATCGTTCTTTATCACGTGTGTGAGTACGTGTGCGGCCGTGTGTGAACTACAGTTACAGTGTGCCCCCCCCCGTCCGATTGCGCAACCGCTGCTCCGGCCGTCTAGTTGCCGCGCTCCTCGCGAAAAGGCGCGGGGCGCGGCGGCGACGCGCTGCGACGGCCACCCCTGTCGCTTCTAGTTGCTGTCGGAGAACAAGGAGCAGCAGACTCATTCCGAGAGTCGTTCCCGTCGCTCTGTCCCTCTCGCACTCACGGGGCGTGCCGCACAGGTGCGAGAGAGAGAGAGAGAGAGAGACGACTCTCGGAATGAGTCTGCAGCCCCGCACCGCCGCGCCACGCATCGCATGAATAAACGCTTAAGGTGTTATTACGGGCGCAGATTGCCGTTCCGACCTCACCGCTTCATCTCGTACACTCTCATCCCATCTCACGCCGTGCCGCGCCGTGCCGCGTCGGCGAGGCGCACTGAGGTCACTTTTTGGCGGAGGCGGGGGCAGCCCGGCACGGCATGGCACGGCCCGGCAGCGCGTCGCAGCAAAATACAGCCTGCTGACCCACTCGTTGCGCCAGCGCGCGACTTCCGGTCCGATCGCTACCCTTTTCCGGAAGAGGAAAAACAACAACAACAGCAGCAACAACAACATAAACAACAACAAACCAAAACCATGCAGAGATTTTATTTTGTTTTCGCTATTGAAGGCGATGTCACTGTTTGGGTTTGGTTCGCGAAGGCGTTCTTGTGACGACCTATTAAGTAAGGTCTTTCCGTCGGTGCGAGGGACGCCTGCGAAACGCGGCATAGGCAGACCCGCCACACACCTCGGTGTAACGGGACTGCCTACCCGCCGGGCGCTCCCGAGAGTGCCGGACGGAGAGGGCGACCCGCGGTGCAGTCCGGAGCGTCCGAGCGTCTGCCCGTCTAGCGTAGTGGCGCCTTCGCACCCGAGTCTGCGTGCGTGCGTGCGTGGGGCTCGAGTGTGTGTGCGCGTGCGTGTAGAGGCGTGTAGTGGTGGCTTCACACGACCTTACCCGTCTAACTATGCTAATGTTTGGTCCTCGCGTGAGGTTCGGTGTTCGGTGCGGCCGGCGGGGCTGGGCGGGGCGGGGCGGGGCGGGGTTGGGATGGCGTGCGGATGGGGCGCGGTGGCGCGGCCCAGCAGAGAGGAGCCCAGCGGCGACTTTGAATCACAAATCAGTTTACCAATAGAAAGCTGCGACAAGAACGAAGAAACACGGGGCTAGGGGAATAGGAGGGCCGGGCGGCTGGGCCAACATTTACGATACAAAACACAACATTACCCAACGCGCGGCAGCTCGTCGTCCTCCGCGTCGCTCTTCGCGTCGCTTCGCGTCGCCCTGAGTCCAGCCTTGCACAATGTTTGCCCGTGCCACTCACGCAGTGCTTTCTTTTCCGATTCTCGCGGTTTCTGAATGGCGTGACAGCGTCTGCGGGCTGCCCCCGAACACTGTCGCTCCGTCTCTCTCGCTCTCGTGGGGCGCCCCGTGCGGGTGCGAGAGGGACGGAGTTCGGAATGAGAGGGGGGCGTGCGTGCTGCCGGGGCGGTGGTGATGCCAGCCCGTCTGTGGTCCTGGCCGTCCCGGGCCTTTCAAGCGGCCGATGCCGCCCCGGTTATGATGACACCGGAGCGGTTCTCACGAACGTCAAGCAAGCAAGCGAGCAAGCGGCCAGGTCAGCTGCCGTCGCCGAGCTTCGTCGGCCGAGTGCGGCGCCGTGGTGCCCTGGGGTGGCGCCCCCCGATTGGCCACACTCCACCCACGCCGCCGCCTCCGGGACGTGCGTATCCTGGAAGACGCGCATCCTCAAGCCGGAAGCGGCGGTCCGGAGACAGGCAGACAGGCGGCCTGCAGTGTAGTGCGCACGTCTCTGGGTCACGCCGCCACGCCGCCGTCCTGACTGATCGACGGGCTGCTGGGCTGCGCCGTGTCGCGGCGAGACGGCCTGCCGAGCGACTCCAGGGACTCGTTTCGTCGCTCTGTCTCTCTCGCACCCCTACGGGACGCGCCGTGAGTGCGAGAGGGACAGAGCGACGCTGGCCCCAGCCACGCGGTGTGAGGTCACTCTCGGAGGTCATCGCCACGACGGAGACGTGCCGCCCGCGCGCCCCGCGTCGCCCCGCGTCGCTCCGCGTGGACCGACGAGCTGCCCTCTGGTCGCCGCGCTAGGCTGCACTGGGCTGAACCCGCACTGGGATTCCGTCGCTCCGTCTCTCTTGCGCGCGTGGAGCGCCCCTTGGACGTGCGAGAGAGACAGACGACTGGCGCACTAGGAAGGGCCGTCAGTGCCTCACGTACGTATGGCCGGCCGGCCGGGCACCCGGCACTTACCCCGCCGTCACCTCGCAGACTGTCAGGCCCTCTCGCTCGCACCCGCGGCCGAAATAGGACCGGAAACAGCATTGTGTCCCGCTCGGCGCGCTCGGGTGCTGCTGGATGGCGCCGCCGTTTTGGGCCAGACGAGCGCCGAGGCGGCGAAGGCCTTCCTGGACGTTCGAACTGTGGATTGTGTCCCCGGCGAGGCGGCGGCGCGCCGGCGTCGTGCACCAGGGACTAGCACTGCAAGGCCACGGCCAGCGCCGGCCAGCGCCGCCGCCGTAATTGCGTAGTCTCACGGACCAGCAGCCCTTCGCACTGTCTCTCTCGCACTCATGGCGCGTCCCGTACAGATGCGAGAGAGACAGCAACGAATTGTGAAATGAGCTGTGCTGCTGGACATCTGGACCAGACGGCGGTCGTGGCGGTGCTTCCCTCGAGCCACGCCGCGCGCCCCGTCTCGTGGTTCCGGTGTGGCGCTGCACGGCTGCAGTCGCATCCTCCGCGACCGCGCTAAACCTTGAACGGATGCAAGCGAGCCAAGCGAGTCGCCCAACAGGCCTAACCGCGTCACGCCGACGCGGAGGCGGCGGCGGCGGCGTTCGGCTGTTGGCTTCGATCGTGACTCGAACACGGTGATGCACTCGGACGGCCTTGGGCAGGGTCACCGGGTTCCAATGCCGGCGCGGCATCCTCGCCGCGCGTCGCTGCCTCCCAGTTTATCGAACGCCTCGCGGAGTCATCGAACGATTCTGGGGAATCCATTCCGCTTCTTCGGCCACGTCGCCGCGCCGCCGCGTCACAGAGCCGAACCGGTCTGCCTGTCGTTGCCCGTCAGCCGCTGCGCCGCTGGGCCCGAGGCCCTGCTGACGCCCAGCCAAGGCCGCGGCCTGGCCCTTGCGCCTGGCCCTTGACTAGCCTTGACCCTTCGAGCGGCCGCGGACGCAACGCGGCTGCAGCGCGGCGCCAGGACCAAGGACCCCGAAGGACCCCGAAGGTCCCGAAGGGCCGCACCGAGGACGAAGGGTGAAGGACACGCGGCCAAACACGGTCCGAAAAAGGCCGCCAGAAAAGGACACCGCTAACCTTCTCTGGCTGATTTCCAACAGCTGTCTCTCTCGCACCAGTCCGAGAAAGACGGAGCGACGCAGCGTGGTCCGCCACGGCGCCGCCTCTCGAACCATCCATCGCGTGTGCTCCGGATCGTCGTCGCGTTTGTCTGCCGATCCAACACTCTGTCCCTCTCGCACGCTCGGGGCCGCCCTGGGGGTGCGAGCGAGACAGGGCGACGAAGCCCCATTCGGAATGAGACCACCACACTGGGCGGTGTCGTCTCGGCGACGTGCGAAGGAGCCGTTAGCTTCCGCGTTGAGTCGAGAGGCGTCTTGACTCCAGAGGTCAAAACGCCAAAACGGCACGTGGCACCGCTCACCCATGGCTCACCCGCCCCGCCGAATCTGCATTATTCATTTCGGGCGAGAAAAGGCGTCGGAATGGAATGGACAGTGGACGACTGTGGACTGGAAATGTCACGAGGAGGCCACCGCGCCTGCCGCCGGCCTGCCGCTTCCACTTCGCGCCGAAAGTGGAAAAAGATGCCACCGAAAACAAGCAACAACAACAGAAACACGATGGAATTCGCTCAGGAAGTTTTTATTTTGATCGATCCCTGCGGAGGAAATATCGATATAGTTTTTCTTGTTGTTATTCTGCCAGTGTCGTGGCTGCGACGCTGCGACGCATTCACCCTGAGCGCGCCGCACTGGCGGTGCAGGCGTAATATCGGTATCACACGTTGCGCGGCGCGACGGTGCACCAGCGCGACGTGTCGCACCCAGCCACCCTGTCGTTCCGAACTGTCGCGCTTCGTCGCTGTCTCCCTCGCACCCCTACGAGCCGCCCCACGAGTGCGGCAGAGAGAGAGAGGCAGAGCAACGAAAGCGCGCGCTTCGGAGTCAGCCTCTCTGTGACGGCGCGCGCGGCGCGCGTCGGCGGTGGGAGGTCCTGGTGACCTGCAAGCCTGCAAGGCACACTGCCGCTCGAGGAAGTGAATAGTGATGAGGTGAGTGGCGTACCGCCGCGTACCCCGCGTTTTGCCTTGCGAGGCTGCCGACACCGGACGCGGATTTGAGACGAATCAACCCGGCCAGAGTGTGAGAAGCGAGGTTTCGATTGGCGCGCAATGGTGTGTGTGTGTTTGGAAAGAGGGGGGGGGGGACAACTTGTGCCCTTCCCGCCAACCTTATTGTTCCGCGACATTTCCGGTCGCGTTGGCACGCCTGGGAGCTGATTCCGAGTCGCTTTCATCGCTCTGTCTCTCTCGCACCCATGAGGCGTCCTCTGTCGGTGCGAGAGAGACAGAGCGACGAAAACGACTCTCGGAATCAGTGTGCCGGGGAAGACACTCGAAGCACTCGGCACTGCAGCCTGCAGTCTCCAGTCTGTCGCGCGCATTCAAATCTCGCTGTCGTCTCCTTGACTTGTGGTTCGAATCGTCTTCGTCAGCATGAATCCATTTCCTTCCCCAGACCAGTTCCCGCCTTGTGGTGACCTCCCGGCTTCACTGAACCGAGGACGCGGGTGGGGGTGGCACGAATGGTCCGACCACCCTCCCCCTCTTGTGGAATAGATTAGCAGGACGTCAAGGAATTTCCAGAGAAAAACAAAAAGACAGGATGTGGCAACAGAAACTTGATTTATTTGTACTCATCACGGCTACTCTCATAAATTTTACTATCTTTAGAAGCAAACAATTGGATAATTAATACCATGAAGTAGCGTCAAAATCTTTTAAAAGATGAATTTGATCTGACAAAATAAAAATGAAGTTCACAGAAACACAAAATACTCAGTCTTTGGTTGATATGGGTGAGAGATGTAAGTACACACACAAATGGAATATAATTCCATCACATAAACACATGAAAAGTATTAGTGCAAACTTAACTATAGTTCAAATAGAAAATGATTTTAAGTTTCACTTTTGATAAACATGAAAAGGAAGACAAAATTGTTTGAAACTAATAAACAATAAAACACTGAATTGAATTAACATTAATTGATACAGCTTCTACCATCTTACCACTGAATTATAACAGGAAAATACAAGTAAAAAATACAGCAAGTTTTGGAAAGAATGACTGAAAAATGCCTACTGGTATAGCTTATAAATATAAATGTAATATCCCAAAAAAGAACAATTACAACTAAACAAAACATGTCAAAGACAGTACCTCTGACTAGAATTTTTTAAGTCTCAGATAAAGAGACAAATGCACAATCCAGCAGCACATAAGTACCTTTCAGTTAAAATATGAAAAGCTTTAACACAAGAGTACGAAAAGGCATTACAGACTACACTCATATCAAAATTTAGGACTCGTACATGAGACGCTGGTAATGGGGAAACACTTCCCATGTAGGTATATGAAGACCAAATTCCAGTGCAACAAGCACTGCAAATTCAGACAACAACAGTTCTTTGCGGTTCAGACGAAAGACACTCTCTGTTTTCTGGAAAAGAAAACTTGTCATTGGAAAAAGGCCGGAAAACAGGATAAGAGACAATAGTATCAGAATATCACTATGCATACCTCAATCAGCAATTTCAACACATCTCCTTTCACATCATTTAGTTTCGCAGACAAAAGCAAACAGGCTCCTGCACAAAGCTTCCGATTTTCTTTGTTGATGAGGTTAGCTAAAATTAGCTTTTCAAAATAAACATATGCTTGAGCCACTGTTAGTAAATCCATTCCACATTCTGTCTTCGCAATCTTCCTCATCTCTCGCTTAATACTGTAATTTAAGAGAGAAAGAAAGGACTTTATCAATAAAACAGATAGAGAAAAGGAATATCACGAATCACTACATTAGATTGACATTATGTTACCTGCGTAGTTTACTCAAAGTAAGTTGAATATGAGGAAACTTCTCCCTAAATTTGTCATTCAGTTCCTTTTTAAGATCAGATGGGCGCACGTAATCAATGACTGATGTCTGGAAAGGGTCAGATCTATTAGTATTTGTGTGCAACAGTGCTATTTGTTATGTATTTGAATATAATTTAAAACTTATACAACATCAAGGAGTTAAATTATCATGACTTTTACCATGTATGAAGCGAAGGTTAAAAGTGTACGATGTTTCCCTGCTATTAGCTCTGGATCATCAAGTAAGTTAGCTGAATAGTGCAGACTTGAAGGATTCACAGGATGAGAGGAGTGAGGCATATGACCAGCAGCGGCTTGCTCTTCCCAATCTACATTGCCTGTTTTGGAACATTTTCTATTACAAATTTCATTTTAACAAAAACTGGAGAACAAAACATTCCAATCTTCAATACCTTTTATTTCACTGTAAGAAACAGGGGGTGATCCTGGGACACTGTGAACAGTGGGGCGATGAGAAGAGCCGTCATATGAGAAGCACCTAAAATAGATAATGAGGCATTTGAATAATATTTTATTAGTTCAAAATTTACAGAAGCATGAAAATAAGACCCAGAAGAGTTGAAAAGATCTGCAGTAGACAAGACCTCAAAGCTAAAATTGAAATGGACACAGATTACAGGACACAATCGACATGGCATGCATATTTCCAGTTGACAGCCCAAGAGAAATCCAGCACCAGCATACATTTGCAAAGTTAACAACTTAAGATTAGTAAATTAGTTCAGAGAGCACAACACCAGAAAGCACCAAAATTGACATAATATTACCATTTTCCATCTTTTAGACCTAAAAACTCCTTAGTCCTGTAAAAAAGAAGAATTTTTGCTCTTCAGTATAAACCATTAGAAAATCCTGCAAGTAAACATCAGATATTTATCCCATGCAGGAAAATCAGCTCATCTAAAAAAGGAAAACTAGACCAGACAGATTTGTTACAAAGTCAGGTCGAAATGGTGCCCAGTTAACTATCTCAAACAAATACTATAATAGGCAGTTTTTCTTTTTAGACAATTATTTCACAAATTCACAATTTACCTTGCAAATGCATGATGTCTTACAGTGGCCTGATAAGGTTCAATAGCTTCATACTCTGACAAGTGCACCTTTCGTTCACGAGAAAAGATCCTTGATGGGACTAGAAGCTGTCCATATGATATTTCCTGCTCAAACAGAAAAGAAGCACAAATATTTGATATCTAGTAACATCAAACATAGACAAATTGGACGCAGGTTTGAAAGTCTGACTTACTTGTCCGTCCTGCCCTCTCTCCAAGCCCAATAAATCAAAAGGATCAAGACCGTCATTAATGGATGAGAGGGGACGAGGCCCAGAAGTGTTTCGCCTCCTTTGACCATCTCGCCTAAGATCATTCCTTCAACAATAAAGTACAAAGTTCACCATCATATGAAGAAAACTAAAAAAATCAACTATCAACTGCTACAAAAGGATTATTACATACCTAGACTGCCTTCCTCCCTTGTTGTATGGGATTGATGAAAATACAAGAAATGGGACTTTATGGGCAGATACAAGGACGAGTCTCTCATCACGAAAATGCTGGCCCCTTCTTGGTCGAACCATGCGCACTTCGCGCACTTGAGATGAATGAAATGCATCTTGGATGGCTTGTGTTTTTGATCGAACTACATTGCACCAAAAGTAAAAAGCAATTTGTAGAGAGGAAACTTAAAGGATAATATTTTTGAGAAAAAATATAAATCATACTTACAAGAGCTAGCCATACTAGGGCCTATACTTTCACTGCTACTGTAATTATGAAGATGCTTATCATCTGATAGGGATCCTTGATGATACATCAGACGCTTTCTTTGGCTTATGGAGCCCATGCGCCTTTCAAATCCAGTATCACTTCCAGCTGTATTTGTCCTGCAAAGCATTAGAAGTAAATTTAATTATTTATGAGCTCAACACAGATAGAGAAAGTAAGGGTAGAATGTTACAAAAGCTCACCTTTCCCGAAACGGAGTGGATGTAGCTTTAGAAAATACATCATGATCAGATTGTTTAGAAGGAGTGAAGTTCATATCAGCGGTGTAACTGTTGAGACGGGTCGGGCTCCTTGCCAAAATAGGTGAACGACTGACCACAAGCAATTTACTATCCTTAGGAAACACATCATCCCTACAAACTTCATCCTTGGAAATATTTTGGATATTTTCCGTCAGTACAAGTGGTTTTGAGCTAGTACCACTAGTCCCTTCATTCCTTGATAGAAAACTAAGGTTTGTGTCTCTATGAGTGCCATCAAGAGATATATTAGACAGAAAGCTGAGAGCTGCTATCCTTCGCCTGGACCTATTCCTCTTCATTGCAACGGCCATAGCTTCAGAAACTCAGTTGCCACAGAGTGAAGGGAACAACCATAACCAAAACAACTGTTTACTCTGTGGTCGCAGTGCTTGGCTTCTTTGAACTTTGCATGTTTAGCACGGCCATGACAATCTTCATGGAGCGTATTTAAACTGAAATAGAGAGAAATAATACCATTGTAAAGGAAAGCGGAAGGGAAATATCGCAAAAATACAAGTTAAAAAAGAACTTTACGTTTGATTCTGGTGCGGGTGGACTAGATAACGTCGGCTGCTTGCTTAAAACAGAATGACAAACTTGTCCATCGCAAAATCCTTTTCTTTTTGTTCCAGTCCATCCCTCATCTCGAAAGAGTAATTTAATTTCGTATGCAGTGAACTCCGATCAATAATTCGAAGAGAAACGTCTTGAATGATTGCACCTAAGTTAGTAAATAGTCTCAAAAAGTAATGAGGGAGATTTTACTGGAACCTGCAAATAACCAATCTGTCTGCTACCGTTGTGTGAATAGTAAAAGCATGTGTTTCTTTCTGAAGGCATAAAACCGCCGCCGAAGTATTTAATTGTTTGTGGTTTCAAGACCTTTGCTCCAAACTTGTCAAGACGTTTTGAAATGTTTATTTTTTGGCTCAATAATTTGTAAACTTTTTTTTTCAATGTGCGTCAATCAATGAGGCAAAGTTACGGTTATTAGTTATGCCTGAAGGTTATGTTCAATTCTGTTTGTAAGAACACTTTGTCTTATTTTCCAGTCAAAATGTTGTGCTCAAGACTTGTTACAAAAACTTTAAGACCATTCCTGGAGCTAACATCAAGATCTGCCTCAACCGAAGCCTCAGCCGACAACTGGGTTCCAAAACGCTGGGGTGATCTTGTTAATGAAAAAGAAAAGATATCGAGGTGGACTCAACTGAACGAGAAAGTTTTTGAACCCCTGAAGGAGGGAGAGGAGCCGCGACCTGCGGTAAGTTGAAATGTTAATATTTTTTTCGCATTTTATTAGATGTAGGTGATTTTTATTCATCAGTGTTTTCTTTTTATAAATTTCAGTATGTTTGTCATGAGAAACGAGACTTCTGGTACAGTTTCAAGAAATTGTACATTGTTTCCTGCTTGGTTAGAGGACTTCCAGTGGATGAGGCCGTTAAACAATTAAATTTTGTGCGTTCGAAGGGTGCCAAGATCGTAAAGGAGACAATCTTAGAGGCACAAGAATTAGCTATTAAACAACATAATGTGGAGTTCAAAAGCAACTTGTGGGTTGGTGCGTAATTTTTTTCTTTTCAATAACGCTTCTTTTTGGTGCTTGATTCAATGTGCATTCTTTTCATAGTCGAATGTTAATGAAAGATCTGTCTCCATATCAACAGCTGAATCGTTCCCTGAGAAAGCCTACTGCCTAAAAGCGACAAGGAGGCATGCAAGAGCAAGATTGGCTATGATCAATTTGCAACACTGCCATTACATGGTTCGCTTGGAGGAGGGTCCTCCACCCAAACACTATTACTATTATAGACGCCCTAGGTCCCCTCAAGAGTTGTTGGATGAATGGCTTGTTGAGTTAAGGTCAAGGAAGATAATAAATTCATTGTAGTTTCCTCATTGAATTTTGACTGTACCTTTTGTAATGTTTTGGGTTCAAAGCTTGCTTTGAAGTAAAGTTTGTTCCTCTCTGTAATTTAAGATAAAGATTTATGTTGGAAACTGTTAAATGTTTAAAACAGAGTTATCATTTTCCTCTGTCTAAGCGACGTCCCCAAACTTTCTTCTTTTCACTGTAAGCGAACGAGGGAAAATCAAGGAAAATAAACGTTAAATTAGGACGGGAGACCAAACCTTCCGACAATTTCAGTAAAACTGACTCACTTTATTCAACAAATCAACACATTCATGAAAACAACTTTTAAAACATGAGATCACAAAATAAAATTTTAATCAATTTCTTTAACTACCTACATCGATGAAGACCGAACGGAATGGCCCACGAGACATAACGTGATGGCGTGGCTGTGTATTTGAACACCGAGCCACAGCTGTGCCTGAATGCGGGATGAACGACGCACGCACACTGCACAACTTCTCTGAACTTTTGGCTGCACTTTGAGAGGAGGGACTGTCGGCATGGCCGCGTGCCGCGCATTGCGTCCGCGGCATTCATTTGAGCACAATTCTTGTTTTGACAGACCTCGACACTGTAAGCACGGTTCTAAGGGAGGAAGGCGTTCCTTTCGAAAGCGCCCTTTGACCTCGGTCAGTCTTTTTCTTCACTGGCAGTGGCGGCGGCTGAATAGCGGCACTCGCACTACGTCGACAGAATGTCACTCTTTTCGAAAAACTCAGTAAACTTCATAGAGAGTTTGTGCAGGCTCCCTGCTGCTAGTTTTTCCGACGAAAGAGAGAGAGGGCCGGAGCCGGAAACTTGGTATTCACACCGCTTCTCAACGGAAATGGCCACCACCGGGCGGGCGGCAGCGGGCTCTCGGGCGCGGAAGGCGCGCAAGGGCTGTCGGCTTCCGTTTCCTGTCAGCGGGCTGGGGGCGCGGGCAGTGGGGCAGGTGGGGACGGGGGCGGTTTCGGCGGGGAGGGGACGCGGCAGCGAGCCCCAACGCCGTCGCCAGGGAGGCTCCCCTGGGCCCCAGGGCCGGCGTCACACGTGGATGGTGTAGTCTTGCTTCTCGCGGTGCCGCTCGTGCCGGTACCTGCAAGCGAGAGCAAAGTCCCGAGTCCATCCTGCGGACGGTGGTTTCACTCAAGTGACGTCGTCGACGCGTACCTCTTGATGAGCGAGGACAGCTCCTGTTCCAACTGGCCGTCGTCGGGGCCCAGTAGCTCGCTCCTGGACGGGTACTGGCCGTTGTCCTCGTGGTCCTGGCCCCCGCAGCCGTAGTCGGCGTCGCCGTTGAGCCCGGCGTCCGAGCCCGACCCCGAGCCGCCCTGCGACCCCCAGCGCGTGGCGCGGCCCCCGCAGCCAGGGGCGTCCGCGTCGCGGCCCTCTAGGCCCTCGCGGTGGCGGGAGTGCTGGCGGGAGCGCGGCCGGCTGCGCGGAGAGCCCGCCATGCCGTTGGAGCAGGCACGCCTCGGCAGCGACCTGGGGGAGGGAGCAGGTATGGAACTCACCGTTGTCTTCACTCCGAAGGTCTCGCTTAGAAGCAAAGCTACTTGTGTGTTTAAAACATGACACAGGGTATTTCATTGAACCCGTTCGCTTTCTTAACCATACAGTTCCTCCTCACGCCCTGGCACGAGGCTTGTGATTGTCGGAGCTGCACGCTTAGGAAACCGAACGCGAGACGCCCTGGGCTGCGCAGGTGCTGCTTGGCTTCACCGAGGTGCCACGCGCGGTGCCATCGGGGAGGAAAAGTGTGCAGGCATGATGGAGGTGTTGGGCGATATCAACCTACTTTCACTACCTGCATGCCGGCCCCTGTGTCCGGTGGCCCACTTCCGGGGAGACGTCCGCGGAGTCGCCGCTCGAGTCTGGACGGACAGAAAGCACAGGTCAGTGGAGGGACTTCCCCGGCGACGAGCACTCGCCATTGCTATTTGTACGTACCGTTGTCCTGGCTCTTGGAGGAGCGGCGGCTCGGCGTGTGGGCGTGCTGCCGGTAGCTGTAGCTCGCCATGTGGTTGTGGCCGTGGTTGTGGCCGTGGTTCAGGCCGTGGTTGTGGCCGTGCTTGTCGCTCGGGCTGCTGCTGTCCGACTCGTAGCGCGCGCCAGGCCCCGGCGTCGGCGCCATCACCAGGCTGCGGGGCCTGCCCACTCCTGGCATCAGACAGAAATGAAGCATTACTCCTCTGCTGGACAAACTTACACAGTGAAAAAGAAATCGGGGAGACGGTGCTTACAGTGCACCGACTGACCTGAGGACACGCTGCCCCGCTCCCGGCAGTGCGTGGGCGAGGCCGTCTTGCGCCTCTGGTGCACGGCGAGCGACATGGGCAACGTCTGCTGGCTGGAAATGCACGAAATTTCTGAAACAAAACAAATGCACAGGTCACTGCTACTGAAATTGCTGCGGTAGTATTTAATCGATTTTCGTAGCGTCACGGCTGTGGGTGTTCGGTTCGGGCGTTCGGGGTTGGTGCACCCACCGAGGCTCAGCCCGTCCGGGGGGCTGGCAGTGGCCGCCCCGCGAGGCTCGCGGCCGCGGGCCGGCGCCCCTCCCTCACCGCTGTCCGACGGCCGAGGCGTGGCGGCCCCCGACGCGGCCGACGCCTTACTCCGCGACCTCGAGTCCCTCGAGTCCCTGGAGTAGTGCTGACCGTGGCGCCGCGGCGGCCCCTCGGCGTAGCAGTCCCGCTGGCTGAAGGTGTGCAGCTGCAGCGAGTAGCTGGCCAGCGACTTGGAGGGCGTCAGCGACCCCGTGGCCGGCCCGGTCCCGGGGCCCACTCCGCCGCCCTGCCCCGCGTTGGCCAGGCTGAACGTGGCGTAGGGGCAGATCTCGTAGTCTGCAAAGAGAACGTCGGTCAGGAAAAGGAGGCGCTTTGGGAGACACAATCCAGGCCGCTTCATCCCTCTGTCTCTCTCGCACTCATGGCGCGTCCTACTAGTGATGAAGATGCGAGAGAGACAGAGCGACGAAAACGACTCTCTGAAGAGGTCCGCGACGTACCCGAGGTGTCGCTGCCCTTCTGGCCCGTGAGGGACGAGGCGATGCCGCCCTTGCGTCCGGGCGACGGCGAGTACAGCTGCTCCTGGTGCGGCAGCGGCATCGGGTGGTGGTGGTGGTGGTTGTGGTGCACCTGGTGGTGCTGTTCGTGGTTCCGCTGGTTCTCCAGCTCGTCCATGGTCTTGGCGTCGCCTCTCCTATAACCCGCATATTGCCTGCAGTCAGTCACATCAAAGTGGGTAAAGCGGGCACGGTGAGGCGGGGCGGGGCGGGGCGCGGTGGGTCATGGTGGGGCGTGCACACGGTAGTACTGTGGGGATGTTTGCCGCGGCATGCGGTAGTGCGAGGCTTGCAATGAAGGGTGTCGGCCTCCAACGTGTGCGACGTGGACTGCTACTGCTTGCCGAACCGACTTCGGCTTCTCAGCAACGAGGTAATGGTAAGTGTGCGTCATGCCGATGGCAGACCAGTGGGTCAGTGTGATCCCCTTCCACCCCCGAGAGATGCTTGACGCTCACCTCTTCCTGAAGGCGATGATGGCGCACGCGGCGACGGCGGCCGTGCACACGAGGCCGGCCACCACGGCGACGAGGAGGGTGATGGGCGTGGGCATGGCGAGTGGGCCGGGCCCCTCCGCCAGCGCGGGCATCAGCTCCAGCGGCACCAGGTCTGCGCAGCGGGAACCACGTGCAATCTCGCGCAAGCGAAACACTTTGGCATCAGGAGGTTCGGGAAGGTCCGCTTACCGCCTGTCTTGGTCCTGGTGGCGAACACGAAGGGCGCGCGGGTGGAGCCTGCGTCGGAGTGCGCGGCGACGCGCAGCTCGTACCAGGAGGCGGGGGCCAGCCCCGCCACGGCCACGGTCTGCTGGGGGCCGGCGCGGTTCGCCACGAGCGTCCAGGGCCCGGGACTCTCCCCCGCCTCGCGCGTCCGGAAGTCCACCACGAAGTACGTGACGGGGCAGCCCGCCACCGGCCACGCGTCCAGGAACAGCGACGCCGTCGTCGAGTTGACGGACAGCACCTCCTCGGCGGCCGGCACCTTGGGGGCGGCGCCCTTGGTGGCCGCCTGCAGCACGGCGCTGCGCGGCCCGCGGCCCACGCCGTTGACGGCGGCCAGGGTCAGCAGGTAGGGCGAGCCGCAGCGCAGCCCCGTCAGCGTGAACGACGTGAGCTCGCCGTCCAGCTCGCGGTCCTGCCACTCGCCCAGCTCGCGCTTGAACTGCAGGACGTACCCCGTGATCGGGGCGCCGGACTCGCCCGCCCCCGACCCGGTGGTCCACTTGAGCTGCAGGGTGCGGTCGGTGGCCGCGGCCAGCGAGAGGACGGGCGCGGCGGGCGGGCCCACCACCACGACGCGGTAGTGGATCTCGTCCTTGCCGAACACGTTGACGGCCTGGCAGGAGTAGTTGCCGGCGTCCTGCGCGGACAGCGGCCCCAGTCGCAGCGAGCCGTCCCCGATGAGCACGGCCCTGCCGGCCGCCGCGTCGCCCTGCTCCCCGTTGCCGCTGACGCCGTTGGCGGCCACGGCGCGCGTCAGCCCGCGCGGCCCCCGCCACGTCCTGGAGGGTGCGGGCACGCCCACGGCGCGGCACGCCAGTGTCAGCATCTGGCCCTCCCCCGAGGCGGCGCTCCGGGAGAACGACGCGATCCTGGCGGGCACTGCACGCACAGCTGGCGTTAGCGGACGTGGTCTAGGATGGGGAAACAGACAGTCCAAGCGGGTCTACAGTCTACAGTACCTCTGGACACGGGCGCTTGGCTGACACGGGCACTGGGCGGGCCCTCCCCCACACTGGTGGACGCCGTCACCCACAGCTCCAGGCGCTCCAGTTCCTTGAGGCGGCGCACCTCCAGGGCCAGGTCAGCGCCGCGGTCGCCACCCGCGTACACCGTCTCCTTGCGCACCTCCTGCTCGCCAACGAGACCAACAAGTTGATGAAGTGAGCGAATAAGAGTGATGCTAAGTGAGAGGTTGAGAACCGCTGGTCGACGCGTTCTTACCCTGGTTTGCCCCTGGGGCGACGCTGGCCGCATGTACACGAGGTACTTGCCGATGTTGCCGTTGGCCTCGAGCGGCCGCGTCCACGTCACCAGGATGCTGTCGGAGGACATGGCGAGCGCCTTCACCTGCTCAGGAGGCCCGGGCACTGAAGCAAATAAATACCAATTTCGGTTGTACCTACTTTTATGAAAACGAAAAGAAATCCTTCGTAAGCGCATCAGAGCGAAGTTTTCGAAAAGTTTGTTACGGCTTACCGTCCTCCTCCGTGGTACAGTGCACGGGGTCGGAGCGCACGCCCTCGCCAGCGCTCGTCAGCGCCGCCACCTGCACTGTGTAGTTGCTGAACTTGGCCAGGCCGAACAGGTTCGTCTCCAGGTTCATGGTCTTCTTCACCTCCATCTCGGGGCTGGCCGCCATCCAGGCTGCGCGACACAGAGGACAAGCTACACTTCGAGCCTCAAGGACCAGGGTTCAGAAGCAGGTGATTTAAATAGAATTTCAGATTGAAGGTGAACAGAACGCACTTGGTTGGTCCGTCGGGGGCAGCCCTGCAGGCATCTTCCGGCGGTAGAACACCTTGTAGCCGTCCAGCATGCCGCGACGTCCCGCCTTGGGGGGCGGCTCCCAGCGCACGCGCACGTTCTGCGAGGTGAGCGGCGTGCAGCGGACCGACCCGGGCGGCTCGGTGGGCACTGCAAGCGTGACGGGGGCCGAATCAGTGACGCCGACATCCGCAGTACACGCACTCGGCTACCGGCTACTCACCGCCTTCCATGGTGGTGGCCGTGATGGGCACCGAGGCGGGGCCCGCGCCGACCTCGTTGAAGGCCCGCACGGTGATCTCGTAGCGCGTGAAGCTCTCCAGTCCCAGCAGCACCACCTCCTGCCGCAGCGCCGCCCCCGCGCCGCCACCCCGCACGGTCCGCGACACCCAGGGCGCGCCGCTGACGCCGACGTCGGGCTCCTGTTGGTCCGAGGCCATGCCGGCGAGGGCCACGGCGGCGGGGAGCGCGCTCAGTGAGGGCTGCCCGGGCAGGGAGACGGCGCGGTAGCGCACCTGGTAGCCCAGCAGCGCCGAGGACAGCAGCGACGGGGCCTGCAACGACGGGAAGCGAGGCAGAGCGTCAGTGGTGCTTCTCAGACTTGGCGGTGGTTGACGCAAAGACCGCGCACCTTCCACCGGACGGTGAGAGACTCCGGGGCGAACGGGTCTGCGGTGACGTCGGCTGGGGGAAGCGTCGGTGCTGTGAATAACAAACACAAAGCCACATTGAGAAAATCATAATCAAACCAAGCGGAAAGTAAAAACAACGAACGAACGAATGAATTGCTCACCCTCCTGCAGGGTCTGCGCCGTGACGGGGCTGCCGGGCGGGCCGACGCCCACCTCGTTGGCGGCCAGCACCCGGATGGCGTACGTGGTGGCGGGGTCCAGCCCCGTCACCTTGGCCGAGCGCTGCCCGCCGCCCGGCACCGTCACGTTGTACCACGGCTGGGGCTGCGGGGGCGTGGCGGACACCACGCTGTTGTCCGCTGCACTGGCGTCCGACGCCGAGGACGGCTCCCTCCTGAACTGGATCACGTGGTGCGTGGCCCCGGACCCGTCCACGGCCCAGCCCAGCGACAGCCAGCGACTGCCCGCCTCCAGGACCTCCAGGCCCGACGGCGCGCTCGGGGCCTCTGGTGACGGAAACATCGTCATCAACGCCACGTTCGACTTGACGTAACGTGGAAACATCAGCAAGGCCCGGCCTACCTTGCACGGCGAGGTACACCACCATGGAGTCGGAGCCGTACTTGTTGCTGGCAGTGCAGTGGTACATGCCGGCGTGGTGCCGCTCCGCCACCAGGTGCAGCTGCGAGCTCAGCCCCCCGCGGCCGCCCCTGACCGTCGACGTCGGGGTCTCCATGATGCGGTTCGCCGAGGGCTCGCCGCCGCCCGGCGTGGACCAGGCGATGCTGACGGGAGGGTCCCCCGACGCGGCGCAGTCCAGCACCACGGCCTGGCCCGCCGCGCCGCTCACGTTCACGGAGCGCGTGTGGAAGTGCGCCGGCACTGTGGGGAGAGCGCGTCGTTCGGGTTACTCAGTTACATGCCCTGGGGAAGTCACTGGCGGCACAAACTCACCGTTGACCCTGAGGTGGATGACCTTGCTGATGCCGGGCCCGATGCCGTTCCTGGCCTGGCACATGTACCTCCCGGCGTGCATGGGCTGCGCCGCGGCCAGCAGCACGCTGCCGTTCTCGGCCACGGTGAGCATGGGGTCGCTGGTGAGCGGCGAGTAGTCCCCCGCGCTGCTCTCCTCCGGGCCCGGGGGCGCGGCCACCACCGCGGCCACCGACGCCGCCGCCTGCTCCGGGGCCTTCATCCAGGTGACGGTGGGCTCCGGGAAGCCGGACGCCCGGCAGTGCACGGCGGCGGGCTCCTGGTGGAGGACCTCCACGTCCTGTGGCTCCACCAGCCAGCGGGGGCGCACTGCAAGCAATGGGTCAAGTCACTCCTCTGGTCCGACTGGTCGACTCCACGCGCGCCACGCCTTCAACCGGCCCACCTCGCACGAGCAGCGGCGCGGTGTAGTTGGCGGAGGCGGCGGCGTTGCTGGCCACGCAGGTGTAGCTGCCCGAGTGGCGCGCCGACAGGTCGCTGAACAGCAGGTTGGAGGCGAACTGGTGCTGCTGCTCCGACACGCTGTCGTCCGGCGGCAGCGGCTGCCCGTCCTTGCGCCACTCGATGCCGATGGGCAGGTCGCCCGACATGATGCTGCACGACACCTGCAGCCGGTTGCCGTCCTCCAGCCCCGAGTGGAACGAGAAGGGCACGATGACCGGCGGCTCTGCGGACACAGAGTCCAGTCAGGAAAGGCTCCAGCCGACGCTACTTAAAGTAGTTGGTCTAATTTGTTTCGACGTCAAAAATGGCCTCTAACAACTTTATTGCTGACTCTTTCTTTAGTGTAAAAGTTGTCCCGTGAAGAAAATCGTCCCCGGGCTAATTCGAGAGAAAATTGCTTTCCAAGTCGGCGTTGTTACTTGCGATGGTACCCGCACAACACACCGAAAGCGTGATTTTAAAAACTACTACGGGTCGTGAATGCGTGCTGTACTCACTCATGACGTTGAGGTGCAGTGTGCTGGACGCGAGCTGGCCCTGCTGGTTGGTGACGGTGCACGCGTACTGGCCGCGGTCCGCCGAGCCCTGCACGCCGCGCAGCAGCAGCGTGCCGTTGGGGAACACGCGCTGCCGCATGTTGTCGGGCAGGCGGTGGCCGGCGCGCGACCACGTCACGCTCGTCACGGGGTACCCGGCCACGGGGCAGCGCAGGAACACGTCCGTGTCCGCCACGGCCGTCAGGTTGAGCGGCGGCCGCGCCGTGGGCGGGCCTGCGGCAACCAAACAACGCCGGCGTTCAACCCCAGCCCAGCCCGATACACAGTGTATCGGATCGGGTTTCCATTACGGCTCGCACTCCTACCGCTTCTTTACTTCACGTTCCACTTCGTTTTTGTTTTCTCGCGGCAACCGGCTCTGCGGAAGCTCCAAGGAAGCTCTACGAAAACACACTATTCGTACGCGTCCGCACCCTGTCGGCCCGGCCCTGGCCCGGCCCTGGCCCGGCCCTGCCTCGACGGACGGGCGCGGGACAGCCGAGCAACTTTTCCACTCCCCCTCCCCCTCCCCTCCCGTCCCAGCCTTGCCTGTTTTCTTTCCTGTTTTCCTCGTCGACGCTCCGGGGATTTAGATTGAACCTCGCTCACCTCCATTTGTGGTGCGGCGCGGCGCTGTGGGGGAAATATGAGGCCCCTCCCCCTCCCCTCCCCCTCCCCCCGGGCGCCTCCTCACCCCCGATTCCACCGCCCGGCCCTCTTACGCGCCGTGCACTAAAATATTCAACCGAAACTTTTTACGGCGCTTCGTCATTTTATGCTGGGTGCGTTAATTTTTTCGTGTTGTTTTCCCGCTTTTGTATCTTTTATTTTTCGCGCGCGCGCCTAAACCAGGCTGGGCGACTGATTAGTTTTTATGCCCGGGCATAAAATAAGAGTCGGCCGATGGACGGCGGCCGCCGTAATAGTGCCGCGCCCCCGCTTTTACGCACCCCGCCCCGCCCCGCCCCGCCCCGCCCCGCCCCGCCCCGCCCCGCCCCGCCTCGCCCCGCCCCGCCCCGCCCCGCCCCGCCCCGCCCCGCCCCGCCCCGCCCCGCCCCGCCCCGCCCCGCCCGCCCCGCCCCGCCCCGCCCCGCCCCCCCGCCCCGCCCCGCCCCGCCCCGCCCCGCCCCGCCCGCCCTCAGATCCGGGCGGCGCAGCGCGGCGCAGCTGCACCGATGCGACATTATAACGCTTTTACCGGGCCTGCCGGCGTGACGTGGCGTGACGTGACACACTCGTCACACGGCGGCACTCAGCACTCAGCGCGGGCCTGGCTTCATACGGCACTTTCCCGCCCGCCCGTCCCTCCGTCCGGGTGTGTGTGTGCACACGTGTGTGTGCGCGTGAGTATCTGAGCGCGCACATGTGTGTGTGTGTGTGAGGGAGTGTGCGAGTGTGAGTGGCGCCTGCCGGCTGTCCGCATGTCAATGCGATGTGTCCCGGCTGTCACGGCGGTCGTCCATCCACTATTCACTATTCAATACACCCCGGCCTTCCCCCAAACCGCCCGGGCCGCCGCTCCGTCCCGGCGACCGTCCCGCCGGGCTGCACACTGATGTACGTCGACGCGGCCAGGCCGCCACCACACCGTTTGCGCCGCACCGCCGAACACACGACGGTCCTTGGCGGGGCGCGGCCTATCAACAAACAGCTCTGAACGTGGGGGTCGTGTACCGGAGACTCCGAGGACGCACACTATGACACCCAGGACGCCGCGGACGCGCACTGCGGCAGCCAGGACGCCGCAACCGCATCCCCGTGCTACTTCCCCGCCTTGTTGTTGGGAATCAGGGCGCAGTGGACACTCTGGTGCAGATTTAATGCGCATCGCAGCAGGGACAGCAGCACCATGGCGCCGTGGTCCAAACTTCCCCGGTCAATAATTAAAAGACACTGCCGCTGCAGTGCGGCGCGAGGCGCGGCGGGCCGAGGAGGCGCTCACCGTACACGTTGATGGGCGCGGAGTGGTGCACGGCGCCGAGGATGTTCCTGGCCAGGCAGGTGTAGAGGCCGCCCTGCACCACGCGCACGGCGCTCACGTTGAGGTGGGCGATGACGTTGCCGCGGTTGGTGACGAAGGAGCCCAGCTGGTAGGCGGGCTGCAGCAGGGGCGGCAGCTCGGCGCCGTCCAGCAGCCACGTGACCCTGGGCGGCGGCTGCCCCGACACGGCGCAGTGCAGCGACAGCGGCGGCCCCGGCTGCAGCGTCTGCTCGCGGAAGCCGTCCAGGAGCTCGGGGGCGATGGCTGTGGGGCGGGAGGGAAGGCGTTTGAATTGCCCGCCGCGCGCAGAGTTGAGACAAACCAATGAGTGCCTACCTCCCAGGGCGAGCTCGGCGGCGGCCTGCACCGTCTCCTCGCCGCTGCTGGCGACGCACTGGTACATGCCGCGGTCCGCGGGCACCACGCGCCGCACCACCAGGTCCATGCCGGTCTGGAATCAAAGAAATGGCTTCAGAAATCACGGAGACTGTACTCGTTACCGAAGTTGCGTTCCGTGTGAATTTTCGATGAACCGGGCGGGGGGCCCTGCGCGGGGGTGCGGCCAGCCGCTCCTGCAGTTGACACAGCTTCCGTGGATTCATCGGCCGGGCGGAGCGGCGGAGCCCTTTCCCAATCATGAGCAAGAATCAAGGCACTGGCCATGAATATTCATGCCGCATTATCGATGGCCGTGCCTTTACAGAAAAAAAAGCACACAACAGCCGGAAAAAAGGCTGCCGCCTAGACCGGGCGGGCCAGTGCCCTTTCCTCGGAGCAGGGATTCCCAATTCCCATGCTGCCGCCGCCTTGTTTTACTTTGGCACCCTACTTGCGCGCCTGCGCCTCAGACACCGTCCCAATAAGAATATATATAAAAAAAAATCCCGTTCGGGACGGGCGCTGCTCGACGCGCTGCTCGGCCTGCTGCGGCCTGCCGTGGGCCCCAAGTGGGGCCTCGCCGCCCTCCTCTCAAAAGGGATTGGCTTGTCTACTCATTTCACGGCCGTAAATCTACAAACGCCATCCTCCGCACCGCCACGCCGCGCCACGCCGCGCCACGCCTCTCCCTCGAGGCCGAAACACTGACGCATCGCGATACGTGTGGATAAAATCGAATGCCCTCCCTCCCCCAACCTTCCCCTGTTATCGCCGCCGTTGGCGCCAGCGGCACGAAACTGAGGCACGCTCTTGAACCGCCCTGCGTGATCGTTCGTTAGGCGGCGCGGCGCCTCCGCGTCCGCCGCCTTCTTTGCTCCCGCCCCGCTGCCGCCCCGCTGCCGCCGCGCTGCCCCCGGAGGCGGCGCTCACAATATCCGCCTACAGATTCGCCATCGTTGCGCGGCCTAGCCTGGCGCGGCCTGGCCTGGCGTGGCTGCGTGCGATCGGGACACTGTTTCAGGGGCTTTACTACTTTCCGATAACACGAGGAGGAGGGCCGGGCCGGGCCCTGCCGGGTGCAGCACGCTAATCTACCGGGGGCGGGGGGCGTGGGGAGGGGAGCGCCTGCCAAGACGGAGGTAGGCCCCCCGCCGCGCAGCCGTGTCGGCCGCGCTGCCTATCCTCCGTCGCGCGGGCGCTCTCGGCGGCGGCGGGCTGAGTTCCAACGGAGCGTTCGTCGCTCTGCCTCTCTATCTCGCACTCACGGGGCGGCCCGGACGGGTGCGACAGAGACAGAGCGGCCGCAGCACTGAGCGGAACCAGCCCGCAGCCGATGGAGCTTGTTAGCTCGGCACAGCCGATATCGTGCTGCTCTCTCTTACTCTCCCGCGCTCCGCCAGCCGAGTGCTTCTCTCTCTACCTGTGTCGTGTGCACGGAAAGCCTGCCGCCCTGCACCACGGGTTCACCGTCCTTGAGGAAGCCCACAGAGGCCGGGCCCGCGGAGAGCCCGCCTCGCACCGAGCAGTTGAACACCACCGTCCTGCCCGCGTCCACCACCTGCAACAGCAAAGCGACGGGTCAACCCGCGAGCGGACAGGGAGAAAGAAAACACACACAGTCACTCCAAACGTCCTGTTAGGTGCGCGCGCGTTTGTGTGAATGTACGTGCGTGTGTGTGCGCGCTATCGGTCCTTTCCACCGCTTCATTTGGAGGCCGGCGCCGCCGCGGGCCGCCCTGGGCCGCGCGGCCGCACTGCATGTAAATTACGCGGCCGGCCGCACCAAAAAGAGGAACGCGCGGATCAGTGATTGCGGGGCTGGCTGGCTTTGAGAACGCGGACGCACTGCATGTGTGCCCCCCCCCTCTTTTCAACCCCTCGCCATTCGGCTTTGAGCGGCGCCGTTTGGGGGTGATGGCCGTCAGAGCGCAGCACTGCATGCAACATGGACAAAAGACCCCCCCCCGGACACACACACGCTGCGCCCCGCCGGTGGTGGTGGAGGCCTGGCCTGTTTTTTTTTTGCGCTGCAGCCGCTACCCGGGCTTTCCATTGCCTCCATGCAATCCGTGCAATCCGCCACAGCCGCGGCCCACCGCGGCACCGCCCGCTTCATTTAACCTTTCAATGCCCGCGCCACCTGCGCGCCACAGGCCTGCGCGGAAGAGCCAGACTGACGCGCCGAATGGGGAATCCCTCGGAATACCTCCGCCAATCCAACATTCTGACACTTCAATTGGGCTCGCAGGGATCAGCCGCTTGTCATTCGCATCGCACCGCAGCGCAGCCTTGGAAGAAATGGGAACTAAAAAAGAAATAACGAAACAAAATAATGAAAAAAAAAGAAAGAAAAAAATAAAAAGCGAAAACTAAGAAAAAGAAATCCAAGAGAAAAAAAGAAACCGCCTGACGCAGGTTCGAACCCGTGACCTACTGCTCCATTCGCAGGCACTAAAGGCGCTCGGCCACCGCGTCCCCTACCTGGTGCTGCGGCCGGAGGTGCGCGCTGAGCGGGTGGCTGACGACGAGCTGCAGGTGGCGGCGCGCCTCCTTGACGCGGTTGCTGACCACGCACGCGTACCGGCCGCTGTCCTCGGGCTGCGCGCGCGGGAACTCCAGCACCGAGTCCAGCGGGCGCGCGCGCAGGTGGTGCGGGTCGAGCTCCAGCAGGCTGCCGCCCACCTCGCGGTACCACCTGCAAGTTGCGTTCCAAAGTCACTTGTTGTTTTTTCAGCGAGCACTCTTGAGAGTTTCTTTTTTTTTCGAGTCGTGTCGCGTCCCGCAGCGATTACACCTCCATGTCGTGCTCCGCGCTGCAGACGCTGTCCGCACGGCGCTCCTTCGCTCTGTCTCTCTCGCACTCACGTCGGCCGTCCCGTGAGTGCGAGAGAGACAGAGCGACGACCGGCAGCGATGTGCGGCAGTGCTGCACCGTCGTGCACGCCCCCTCCCAACGCGCACCACCTGTAGCGCGTCCCCGGGGAGCGCCCACGCCGTGCCACGCCGTGCCACGCCACTCTCGGAGATTTGCAACGGGGGGGGGGGGTAGTGCAGAGGGGTTTGTCACCAGACTCAGAGATGCGTCCGCAGGGGGTCTAACAAGACGGGGAGCTACCCAGGCAGACACAGCAAAAAACAAAACACACTCAGAATAATTTACTTATTTCTCAAAAAATGGCACGATTAGTGAAGCGGGGAACCTCGGCGACGCGTGATCCTTGTCTCCCCTGATCCCTGTTTCCGCGACGAAACTAACTACTTCAAACGAGTTGCCGAGACTCTGCCTCCCACCCCCTTTTCCTGTCCCTTTTCCACCCAAGCTGGCCGCGACCACCAGGTGAAGTAGTTAAGAAGACAGAGTCCCTTGTCGCTGACGGCGGTCTCCAGGAGGCAAGAAGGAGGAAAAAAACTGTCGTCGAAAACACTTACTGAACTCCTCTCTCTTTCTCTCTCTCCGTTCACCACCCCCTACTGCTCTCGAACTAACTGAATTTTTAACATTCTTTTCGAGCGGGCAAAAAAAGAGAGCGAAAAGACAGCAGCAAAGGACTTGTTTGTTCTCGGCTGTGGGTCGGGACTCGATCAATAAGGCTGTCTGATCGGCGGGGCTGCCATATCGGCGGGCTGTCCCGGGCTGTCCCGGGCTGTCCCGGACACACACGGACTGCCCCGCCCCGCCCCCTTCATCCTGTCGCCAGACGGCTTCTTCGCGAGGCTCGCAAGGACGAGAGAGGATACACAGACACACGGCCGGCGCGCTCGGCCAAACAATTGAGCAGCGCCGCGCTGTGACGAACCCCGCCCCTCCCCCTCCCTTATAGCAGCAGCGCAAACTTGGTCTGAAAGGAGGAGGGGGTGGGGCGGGGCGGTAGGCGGCATAAACTCCCCGGGGTTTAGCTAGCGCGAGCTAGCGCGAGCTAGCGCGGGGTGTTTCCTTTGAAGAACCATCCTCATTTTTTTCACCATTTTTTATTTCAATTGGTTGACGACGGCGACGACGACGACGAGGAAATCGGAAGAAAGCGACCGGCAAATTTTAATTATTTTATCCCCCCCCGGAGGGAGGAGAGGGGCGCGTCGCGTCGTCCCATTGGCTTTTATCAGGGGTCGTTAGCTTTTAATTGGCCGAATGGCGGCGATGTGGCCCGTCGTGGCCGGCCGGGCCGCGGCCTCGTCGTGAAACGCGTCAGTAAACATCGAGGGATACAGCCGCGCAGCCGCGCAGACACGCAGCGTGCCTTTCGTTTCCATTCCGATCGCGCTGCCGCGACGACGGGGCGCTGCTGTCCCGGACAGCGCCTCCAGAACCCCTCCAGAGCCCCTCCAGTACCCCTCCAGAACCCCTCCAGATACCCCTCCAGAACCCCTCCAGAACCCCTCCAGAACCCCTCCAGAACCCCTCCAGAACCCCTCCAGAACCCCTCCAGAACCCCTCCAGAACCCCTCCAGAACCCCTCCAGAACCCCTCCAGAACCCCTCCAGAACCCTTCCAGAACCCCTCCAGAACCCCTCCAGAACCCCTCCAGAACCCCTCCAGAACGCTGTGCGAGTGCGAGAGAGAGAGAGGGAGACAGCGACCTGCTTCTGGCCGGCCGGCCGTACCTGTACGTGGGCGGGGGGTGGCCCTGGGCGGCGCACACTAGCTCCGTGGCCGCGCCGGCCCGCGCGTGCACCGTGCTGGCCGAGGACTCGATGTGCGGCGCCACGTCCGCATCGGACGCTGCAACACAAAGCGGCAAGCACCGTGAGGCAGACCGGATTCCGAGAGCCGTTTTGTCTCCCTCGCACTTACGGCCGAGGGTTGCGAGAGGGACAGAACGACGAAAACGACTGAAGTGGCGCGCACCTTTGACGATGACCTGCGCCCCGGAGCTGAGGCGCACGTCCCCGCTGATGACGTGCTGCGTCTGGCAGTAGTACGTGTGGCCCACGTCGTCGTCGGACACGTCGCGGACGTGCAGCGTCCCCTGCGACGTGGCCGTGTACCTGCGGGCACCGAGTCGAACATCGGACTGAGCAGGTGGTCATACGTTTCGTTTCACACTTTCATGCTGCGCCCGCCACAGTGCTTTTGAACTGGCAAAAAAAAAATCGTTGATGAAAGTACAGGAAAATTCGATGAGAAAATGCTCTGAGGCACACCAAAAAAAGTCGGTGGGACATCAGAAATGCTCTGCAGGACATGGACAACACTACAAGGTGTTTTTTTTTCACAAAACAGAGAGTTGGTTACCTGCCGCTGGTGCCCATGTGGATGGTGGCCATGTCCCGCTGCCAGCCCACGACGCGCACCAGTGGCCTGGCCGCGGAGGGAATGTTGCAGCGCAGCACGGCCACGTTGCCGGCCAGGGACTGCACGCGGTGCACCTGCGTGGACCAGCTGTGCAGCGTCTCTGCGGGCACACCGACAAACAAATTTTTTTGTTAAAAAAAAGAAAACACTTTTAAACAAAGTACAAAAGTGATAGTTTAAAATAATAGAGATAGAGAGGGGTTGAATATGCTGGGAAGGTAAACAAAAACAGCAGCTGCCCGGCTGGCGGCTGCGGCGGCGCGAGAGCGGGGCCCCTGGGGGTAGGCTGTCCCGAGGCCCCGCCACACTCGAGTGCCGCGCGGGCTGGCGGGCTGGGCCTGGCAGGCGTTTAGGGAGCGGCAGCCCAGCCCGTCGAGGATGGGCGCGCGGCGCGGACCTCATCGGGAAACCGGCGGGCTGATTCCGGAGGGTCGCTCTGTCTCTGTCGCACTCACGAGGCGTCTCGTGGGGGTGCGAGAGAGACAGAGCGAAGGAACGGAAACTTCGGAAACGCTCGGCAGGAGCCGGCGGCGCCGCGTCCAGAGCGTGCTATTAGCCCACGCGCGCCCTGCTCCAGGGAGAGAGAGAGGGGGTGGGAGGGAGAAAGGGGCGAGGAGGGATAGAGAGTGAGAGGGAGTACGCGTTAATTTCGAGTTGCGGCCAATGAGGCTTGGCGGGGCGGGGCGCGGGCCGGGGGGTGGGGAGGTTAGTTAGCTTGCACGTGAGCGATGCGATGCGCGCGCCGAAGCGGCTAGCCCAGGCAGCCCAGCCCGAAGGCCCTGTTCGCACTTTGCACCGCAGCGCCACCGCCACGCCAACACCACCACGCCACTGCCACGCGGGGCAGCGAGCGGCGCGGGAGAGCAACCAGTCTGGTCCATCGCCGCCGGGCCCGCGCCAGACCACACCAGAATATTCCGAGAGTCGTTTTCGTCGCTCTGTCTCTGTCGCACTCATGGGGCGTCCCGCGTGGGTGCGACAGAGACAGAGCGAGAGCGGAACCCGTGTGCAGCCCACGCCAGCCAGCCACTCGGCTCATTAATCGCGGGTAATTGGTGCGATGTAGCAGTGTAGCAGCAAGTGCAATGTCAGGATAATTGTTTCCCTTCGGGCACTCGCGGCACAGCGCGCAGTCCACAGGCTCGTTGCAGCCCCCCCCCTCTTCCCCCCATCCCGACGCGCCGCCGCCGGCCTGATCAGCCACAGCCTCTGCCCACGCTCTGCCTTCCCCTCCATCAGTGCCAAATTCCCCCCGAGCTTGGCGGTGCGATAGCGCGTATCTGCTCGCGGGCTGTGCCGGGCGACGCGGCGTGGCGCGGCGCAGTGTGCCACCACCACCCCGCCCCGTACGTGGCGGTGGTGGCGCGGTGTGCGGTCTGCTGAGCCAGCATTGCCAGATACACAGGAATGTTTCCGACCAGTTCATAGCGGCCACCAAATAGGACTCTTTGAGGCGGTGCCGGCCGGGCTGGTCGGCGACCCGAAGCAGGACTCCGACTGCCGTCTGCTCCGCGCCTCTGCGGTCAAAGAGGCAACAAACTGGCAAAGGAAACTCAGAGAGAGGACCGGGCGGGGCGGGGCCGTCCTTCAGAGGCTGCTGCAGCCTTCGGCAGCCCCCCCCCCCTCATCATCTGCAGTGGCGCGGCAGGGTGGCCACGCGGCAATCGGCTCAATCTCATCTCCTCGCTGTCTCTGGTCAGTGTGGGTCTTAAGGACGAGGGCGCCCGGGGATTTGGCTTAAGGGGCCCGTAAGACTTTAAGCCCCGCGCGGGAAAAAAGTCTTAAGCGACAGATTGTACTACTCTGGCGATGCACTCGGGACTCGGTGGCGGCAGACTGATTCCGAGAGCCGTTTTCGTCGCTCTGTCTCTTTCGCGCCTACACGGGCCGCGCGCCTTGCCCGAGTGAAAGAGAGGCCGAGCGACGAAAACGGCCTCCGGAATCAGTCTGCTGGGCCACACTTTTTCTACACCGCAAAGGGGCGGACTCCTCCCTCTGGCCGAGGCGGGTTGTTATTCGCAGGGCGACGTTATTCACAGGAGGAAAAAGCGGCGGGTAAAGGGGAGGTTATTCGCAGGAAAGGAGAAGACCTGGGAGCAGGGCAGAGCCTGGCCTGGTCCCACGCACTCTTTCGCGATCGTGCATAGAGATTTCCCCACGGAGCCGCGGAGCACGCACCGGAACGGAGCCGTGCGGGGCGGGGGGGGGGGGGGGTGTCCTCTCCGGCGTCTCCCAAGGGTGGGATGAGCAGATACTCACTTGGCGCCATAGGCCTGGGCGACTCGATTCAATCGCCAACCGCGAAACGCCGCGAAACGTCGCGCACCGTTCTCTGCGTTTGTTGGTGCGCGTCAGTGTGTGTGTCTGTGTGTCTGTGTGTGAGTGCGAGCCTCTCCAAACACAAATACTTGAGTTTGCTCCTCCACGGGCTCCACCGCTGGTCGAGACCGTGGAGACGCAAGGTGCCCGGCGGTCCGCTCTGGTCCGCCCTGGTCGGCCCCGACTACGTACGTGCTTGGCGACATTAACTCCGCCACCAGGACGGGGATGAGGGAGGCGAGGCACAGCGAGAGGCAAGTCCGGATACGGGCGATAAGGGGTGGTTGCCGCCCCGCCCCGCCCCGCCCCGCCCCGCCACGCATCGGGCCGCCGCGCCGCGTAGCCGAGGGCTACTCATTATCAGGATGAGGGGCGCCATCTCTTTAGGGCTGGGCGTGCGGGGCGCCCCGACCCACCCCCACCCACCGGGCCGTGCCGCCGCGCCGCGTTGCCGCCTTGCCACGGGCACTCACCTCCCGGCTCGACTCATTTAGGAGCAAGCGCACCTCTCTTTTTTCCAAACACTCCCCACCGATGATGTTCTTCCCTTTCGCTTAATCTCTCTCCTTTTTTTTTGGCACCGCCCTCCCGCCATTTCGCTCGGATTTCCAAGCGGAGTCTTCGGAGCCCGATCTTCGCTGCTGCAGCGACGAACCGATAAACAAATCAGCGATGTCATTCGGGTCACGTGGCGCGCGCTTGTCGCTTACCGGTCGCAGCGAAAAGAAGGGAAAAAGACTCGACGGAGGTAGGGCAGGGAGCGGGGCTACGGTGAGTATCCCGGATGGCATGGCGGTGGCCCCGGCCCGCCCCGCCCCACCCGGGCCTCCCCCAACGCCGCTCCGGCCGCACCCTGACCTAAAGCCCCGGCCTTCCCACCGCATTATTGCATTGCGAACGCGTCCAGGCATCACCGCCAGTCCTACACCGCAAGCCTGCCCCCTTCCGAATGCCCCCTCACACTCACACGCACTCGCACACTTGCACATGCACACACACACACACACACACACGGTCGTAGACAGGGTTGCGGCGTTTACAGCCTGCGCCCCTGTGGCCCGCAGACACTGTTGCTCTCCAATGCACCGCTCAACCGAAAGGGATAAACCGTGGGGCCGCTTTCGGCCGCTCCCAGCTTTCAGGGAGACGCAACGCTTCGGCTTTCAGCGCGATCGCGCGGCGCGCAGCATACGGCATGGCGCAGATATTTGAGCCTACAATGTTGCAAGGCGGCGCTGTCTGTCTGTCTGTCTGCTTGTCTAGAGGCGGCCGGTTCGGCGCTACTGTACTGTTTGGTGTGCTCCGGAGCACCTACTCGACCGCAGTGCTGCCTGCCTGCCTGCCTGCCTGCCTGGCCGGCGCCGAGGGGGTCCGCACTGCTGGGGCAGCCATGTGGACATTCATTCAAACACTCGCAGGGGGGCCCGCCTGCCTGTCTGTCCGTCCGCCTGTCTGCCTGTCCGCTCGCCCAGCGGCCGCCCGCTTGATATGCGGTCAGTGACTACGGCCTCCGCGGGGGTCCGTCCCGGCGTCCCCGCCCACCGGCCCAGCCTTGCGCCCGGCGTCGCGGCGCTGCTTGCTCGGAAGCCCCGCAGGCAGCACATTGTTCTTGTCTCTCTCGCACTCTTGGCGCGCTCCCTATGGGGGTGCGAGAGAGACAGAGCGACGAAGTGCGGCTCGGAAGCAGACCACTGCCCGCCGACGTGGGGGCCACGCGGTGGCTGTTTCACTTTTCATTCTAGTGTGCCCCCGCCACCGCCGCCGCCGCCTCCGCAGCGACACCAAGCCGACCGAGCCAACCGCCAGCCACAACCAAGTCCGCCGCCTCCCCTCCCCTCCCCGATCCCGCGGCGTGGGCGCCGCCACCTGCGAAAGTTCGGAATTTGTGGGACGTCGGTAAATTAGGTGAACACAAGAATGCGGCTACTGGGCGGCCGGGGGCAGGCGGGGCAGGGTGAGGGGGGCGGCGGGGTGGGGCTGGGGGACGAAGCATGATAGCTTTTATGCAGGACTAAGTTTGGGGTGGACTAGCCAACTCCAGCAGCCACGTCCAGCTTCCCCCACCTCTTCCCTTCCCCCTCCCTTCCCCCTCGCCCTTGTCCAGACACAGAATTTACGGCCGGCCGCGTATTTAGCATTTCGAGTGGGCCAGTCGGGCCAGTCGCCCCGGCCAGCCAGCCAGGCCGAAGGGAAGCGTGCTGGCAGCGTGTCGCACGATCAGACAAGCTGGACATCCACTGTGTTGCATTAATGGAGAAGGGGGGAGGGGAGGGGAAGGGACAGGTGGGCAAACAGGGGAAGGGGGAGGGGGGGGGAGCGTGAATGAGTGCGAATAGGGCTCGCGTCGCCACTCCATGCAAAGCGGCCGGCAAACGGACAAATGAGGGACAAGTGCGTCCCGCCATTCACGGCCACGGCCGAACCTTTTGGCGCCAAATTTGAAACGCGCCGTGTTTTCAGCAAAGGTTTTCGCCGACAAGAATGGAATTTCCTTTCAGCACAATGCGTGCAAAGGACGACGCGCATGTACGCGTGTGTGTGTGGGCACCTATATGTGTGTGTGCGCGCGCCGTTGCCACATGGTACAGACGGTTAACATGATCCAGGGGCTTGTAGCACTATGCGCACACCAAAGGGGTGCTGCGGGTGAGGTGGTGGGGGGAGGCGAGGCAGGGGTACATTTCCTGCCTCTTGATAGGGGCACTCGGAATGTATGTTAATGATGAAGGGGTAAGGGGGCTGCGCCATGGCTGCGCGCGGCGGGCGCTGGGCCCCGCCAGC